CCTCAGCCTTCTCAATGTCCTGGGTGACCAGATCTCCCGTTGCCTTCCGGAGAGGGCCCACGTTTTCCCTAGTTTTCCTTTTTTCCCCAACATACCTGTAGAAGCTTTTTTTGTTGCCCTTGACATCCCTGCCCAAGTTTAATTCTGTCAGGCCCTTGGCTTTCCTAACCTGTTCCCTGGCTTCTCGGGCAATTTCTCTGTATTCCTCCCAGGTTACCTGTCCATCCTTCCTTCCACCCTCTACAGGCTTTTCTTGATCCCAAGTTTGTTCAGGATCTTCCTGTCCATCCAAGCAGGCCAGCTGCTGTTTTTGCCTGCCTTCCTCTTTGTTGGGATGCATCGCTCCTGGGCTTGGAGGAAGAGATCTTTGTGTATGATCCAACTGTCCTGCACCCCTCTTCCTTCCAGGAATTCATCCCATGGTACATGACCAAGCAGATCCCTGAAGAGGCCAAAGTCTGCTCTCTTGAAATCCAGGGTGGTGAGCTTACAGTGCACCTTCTTCACTGCCCTGAGGATCTAATTGAGTCATAGAATGGTTTGGGTTGGAAGGGACCTTAAAGATCATCTAGTTCCAACCCCCCTGCCTCAAATCTCAAATTCCACCATTTCATGGTCACTGCAGCCAAGAGTGCCCAAGAGCTTCACATTCCCCACCAACCCCTCCTTGTTGGTGAGAACAAGGTCCAGCATGGCACCCCTCCTTGTTGGTTCCTCAAACACCTGGAGAAGGAAGTTGTCCTCCACTCATTCCAGGAACTGCCTGGGTTGTTTGTGCCCTGCTGTGTTGTCCCTCCAACAGATATTGGGGTGGTTGAAGTCCCCCATGAGGACCAGGGCTTGTGAACGTGAGGCTGCTCCTGTCTCTCTATAGAGGCCTCATCTGCTGGGTCTCCCTGGTAAAAACAGAGGAGGGGGCAAGTTAACAGGAAGGTAAGATGTACAGGGAAGGGGGAAGCCACTTAACATGTTGCATCCATTCTTATACTCTTGTTTATCATTTATCTATAAGGAAGAAACAGGATATGTGAGAGTAGCCCAAAGGATGTCGCCTTTAGAGGATTTTTATTTATGTAAGTTGCATGGTTGGAGTGTTCCCAGACTAAATGTGAGAAAATGATTTGTAAAATAATACTGGTTGAAAGTAAGTAACCTTCAAAATTTGTGTTATAAGGCTAGAATAAGCTTGACAAATAGAAATGAATGCATAAGCTTCATTCAGGACTTTCCATATGGGTCTGCAGAGAGACATTATTGTCTTGAGTGGATTTTTATATTGCTGAAAGTGATTTAGATGTTAACTAGTGCTGTTGTGCTCACTTCTCTTGTGTTTGTGTTGCATTAGGCCTTTAGAATTGGTAGGAAAGGAAGCAATTATCAGTGGACAGCATTCAAGACTCTTGAACTGCCAAGCAGTGCTGACATCATATTGCCTGTTTTGTAGCACAGGTCGATATATCACATCATTTATGGCTAAGTGCTCAGAGTTTGTCTTTTTTTTCTTCTTTCCACAGATTCCGAGTATTCCTATTACAATTTAATCTTGAAGAAAGCAGGACAATTTTTATCCAATTTGCAGATCAATCTATTGAAGTTTGCACTTTCCATACGGGCCTATTCTCCAACTGTTCAGATGTTTCAGCAGGTGACTGTGTTGTCTGATATGTTTGGTCATGATTTTATGTAGGATTTCAGCTGCAGACTAAAGAATGTTCACTATTACAGTTCAGTAGAATATATGCTGACATTACTTGGAATCAAACATGATCCATTTCTAAATTATTATAAATGGTGCTTTATAAACTGACTGTATTGACAGGAACAAATCATAGAATCATAGAATGGTTTGGATTGGAAGGGACCTTAAAGATCATCTAGTTCCAACCCCCCTGCCATCAGCAGGGACACCTTCCACTAGATCAGGTTGCTCAAAGCCTCATATTGAACACAAATATTTGTGTTTAATTGTATGGATAGCATTATTTTCAGGGTAGAATTTTTGGAGTTGTTAATTTTTAAAATTCAAGTTGCGGGGGTTTCTTGCATTTCTTTAAATAATCCTATGGGAAATCAGACATTTCCAAAGTAGATCTGTAGCTTCAAGTCATTTATTATATTTGTTATTTAGTGGACTTCTCATCTCTCTCGTTATTTTAGTATTTGAAAAGTTGAAAGATAAAATAGTCAAATACTTGCTTTGTTAATGAAAATGTGGGAGGACATAAATTCACTGCACCTCTAGCCTAAAACTGCTCCTCCTCCTTTTAGCAATGCCACCTTCAAGATAAAGTGAGAAATCTGTTTCTGAAAGGTAATAAGCTGTAATAAATTTAGTTTTTGCAAGTGTTCTCTAGAGGAATATCATCATCTCAGACTCATATCTTTTCATTTTTGTCTTTCAACTTGTGAATTCAGAGTCATTAACATGTAGTCATAGGATTCCTGCTTTACATGGGAATAGCTGAATAAAGTACAAATAAAAAAAAGCGGGGGGGTGGGAAGGAGAGAGAACCAAAAATTGACATTAATTGTTTGGGATTTAGTGGTTAGCAGTCAAATCTTTGTATGTTTACATGATTGCTGACAGTGACTAAAATTAAAAATACCTCAGAGTACAGGCTGTGATTTCAGCTTGTGGAGGAGATTTCTCAGCCCTGTCTTCACAGGATATAAATGGACTTGCATTTTCTGGAGTATGACTGCATTTCGTAGACTACATCTCACAAAGGCTTTATAAGGTCTTAATCTTCTAGTATTTTCCATTACTTTTCTCACATATACCCAATTTTGAATGGGTTTAATTAGAAACACAACTCAATGGCAGCTGTTGAGTTATTTTAATCAAAGGGATGTGAGTTTAAGTTGAAGTGCAATCAGAGCATTCTGGTTGAGTATAATTGTTGAAATATTAGATTGCAGCTGATGAACCTCCACCAGAAGGCTGCAGTGTATTTGTGGTTATCCATGAGAAGCACACTTGTAAGACTAATGAAATAAAAAAGCTGCTGAAGAAGGCTACTAAGAGGTAAATGTAATGATCTGTTGTAAGAGGAAAAATAGATTACTAAAGAGGAAAATGTATTATTGCATATATACTTGTAGTAGTTTGAAATTTTATGTTCTACTTGATAATGCTAAGCCCATAAATCTTTGTTTACTGGATATTTAAAGACATACTCATTTAAAGTATACATTCTTTTAGGAGTTACTTTTTGTTGTGAAATATTTTAAACACTTTATGAGAATTCATCAATTATGTATGAATTAAAGTAGGGTTTTAAAATAATATCATAGATCTTTGCTCCTCTAACCACATGGATAATTTTGTAGCTCTTCCCTTTTTTTTTTGGTGTGGGATAGTCAAGTTTAAGTTACAGTGTACTTTCTCTACAAACTTAGCATTTAGTGTGTCTAAGACAGTATGTTTGCTGACAGACCTTTCTAAGTAGTCAGTGCTACTGCAGTTGAGGTTTTTTAAATAGTAGGAGCTTGGCACAGGAGTGGAAGAGGAGTCTTACTTCATCTTAAGTTTTCCTTACCTTGTGCCTGACTTTGCACCTATGAAGCCTGGTTTTGTCCTGTGGAAACTAGCATCAGTCCAGAATGAGGTTAGGCTGTGAAATAAAGTATGTAGAACCTATCAAAATAACAAACAATAACAAAATAATGAAAGCAAAATGTTTAATTTCTATTAGAAAATAATTCATTTGTATTGTTTCAAGACCTGTATGTAACATATTTTTGTTTGGTTGTGGGGTTTTGTTTGTTTTTTTTTTTTTCTTGCAATGGTCAAGGTCACTATAATATACATTAGTGCCCATGCCCTCAGCCACTTCATGGAGGTATGTAGAGCTGAAAGATGATTTAGTAGTGTATGTTTCTTGTATTTTACCTTCTATCAAATATGAATTGGAAAAAAAACCCTGATAACCTATAAATTTGTCTCTTTGGGGATAGTTGCTTCTGAAAACAATTTTGTGTTCGACATGTGTGATTTATGGTATTTTCTAAGTCCACTGATACAACTACAAACTAATAAATCATTCTTTTACTTATTCAATAGCCAAGGTTTTTGCAAAACTTCACTGTCTAGTTTGCAATGTCCCATTTTTAACTATTACGTTCAGCCTGACAAATGTCTCTTACTTTCTTACATCAATTATTTGTACTGTATTTTGGCTTTTGGAATGATGTTGAATTGTTCTGGTCATATTAAGGCATCATGAGACCTTAACATTTTATCACAGTGTCTGAATATACTCTTATTCTAAAGCAGTTAACTGGATTCAGCAAATTCTCCTTTCTAGCGATACTATCCCCAAACTTACAAGATTTTGGAAAATCACGATGCTAAACAATAGAATCCTGAGGTATTTGGAATTGAAAGACTTCTAGAAATCATTAACTTTAAGAATTCGCAACAAAACTGAAGTTACTGTGTTGTGGATAGTTTTGTGTGTACCAGTCACATTACGACCTTCAGAGCCGCAGGGACAAAATCTTTATACGTTTCCTCTCCTCTCCATCCCAAAAGTAGTTGTGTCACTCAAATATTTAGAGTTCCTGGAACTAGAGTTTGAGAAAGATACATTCACCTTCAGGTAATTGTTTCCACTGTTATTTCCAGTTGTACTCTGGGTAGCAGATGCTTTTGACTTGTGCTGGAGCTGTTTAGCCTAGGTGATATATAGGTAGGGCTGTGCTCCTTTCTCTTCTATACAGTGAGCAAATGATATATGGGACAGCGTGCCATCTCACTGTTGGTTCCTCTAAACCAGTCATTCTTTTTCTCTGTGAGTTTTATGAAAAGAGATCTTTTTGTTTTATTGATTCCTTTTTTATTCCAAACTATTTTCCTTTGTGTTTCATTTTCTTTTTCTGTCCTCTGTCTGTCATGACTCTTTCACTTAAGCTAGGCCAACTTAAGCTAGGCTTTCAGTCGTGTCCTGAAGTTCCACATTTTGGATGAGGACATTAGAAATGTGCTGGTTTTTGATACGATAGTTTCAAATCTCACTGGAAGAGAAAGAAGTGGCTGCAGCATTATTTTGTGAAAATCCATCAGCTCAACCTGAGATCCAGGAAGTTTCAGGCACTTTGGACTCAAGAGAGCCCAAATAGTGCATGTCAAGATCAAGGTTTTGCTTCATCCAGTCTTTTATGCAGCATCTACTATGATTTGGCCTGTTGCACTTTCAGCCAGGTTACAACAGGCTCTAATTGGAAGTATTTTGTGTGGTCTTTTCAAGGGCTGTGGATGTGTCAAAGGGCGATCTTCAGTGGTTAAATTGTTGGGATTACTTATCTGGCAAACTGTCCAAAACACAACACTGAGATATCTGGTGCTGTTGCTGCCAAGAGCAGAAGCATTAATGGCAGTCACGTTTGGCTCAAAACAATCAGTGCTTTAGAAAGTTTGTCAGTATGCATGTCTACTGTCTTCTGTCCATCACCTTCCTTCTGCATCCCATCTTGGCAACTATCTAGGCAGCATATAATTGCCTATATTAACCTAGTAACTAGTTAGTGAGTGCTGAACTCCACATCTGTATTTTTTTAATCTTTACCCAACTGCTTTTCCTTCCATTTCAGGCAGCCTTCTCATGAGAATCTCTTATGGCAGGAAATTAATTAGCTTTCAGCTCTAAAAGCAAGAGAATGAATTCCTTCTCACTAGTATTCAGTGTCAAAGAGAAACAGAGAAAGGAGGCTTATCTTGGATTTACAAGGGCTGAACGCTTTAATTCTCCAATCCAAGGTCATTATGGTAGCCCTATGCCATGTTATTTCCCTGCAGCACTTAATTTTTTAGTGAAGCATGTTCACTGTAGTATAAAATGCTTCCTTTGAGACTGTCAGTGTTCAAGAAAGTCATGAGAGCACCTGGTACCCACCTTTTGAGAACAGGAATCATTCTGCTGTACCTAGGTGACTAGTTAAGAAAAGCTCCCTTGATTTAGGTTTTGAACCTTGTATAAATGACTGTGGCAGTTCTTGTCTCACTGGATATGAGAAGGAAGTTTGCACAAGTCACATCCCATAGGTATGCTTTCATTGGGGCAAATCTGGAGCTGTTCTTGACGAGAGCTTTCTCATTCAAGAGTTGTTTCAGACTCCCTGATGACACCTACTTTGTCTGCCTTGTCCTCTGAGGGCAGTGGGAAAGCTTGCCTGATATTTCTGTGACTCATGGCTGCGTGCACCCAAGTTATTTCTCAAACCAGGCCCCCCTTTTGTGTCTGCCTTACAAATGTGGTCTTTGATTGCGTACCTACCAAGCTTACCTAGGATGTTGCTGTTAAGGCCCAGAGTAACCTGATAAAAGTTGACCCTGCTTTGAGTGAGGGTTTGGACCAGATGACCTCCAAAGGTCCTTTGCAGTGTAAATTATTCTGTGATTTTACGCTGAAGATATTTCTAAGCTTTGCATCACAGAAACTGTGGCATGTGAAGTTCTGCCTACACCTTTCCAGTATGACTTTTCAATGAGCATCTAGTACACACACTTCTGTAGAGCGTGTTGGATTAGAGTTTCTGAATTTGTCTTGGAGAGTTTACTGGTCTTTTAAGTGTGACTGTGCAAAGGCAACTTTGAAAAAGTGTACTCATCGATAATTAGCACCTTGAGTGTATTCCTCAGTCATATGCTGTGTTACTTTTACGTCTTTCCCAGGATTTATTCAAAAAATTTGCAGTCATCTAAGGAATCATTGCAGGTATAGAAGGTGTAACTTTTCTAGTCATGGCTTTCAATGAGGATGATAGGTAGGCAGTCAAAATTTGCAAAATTAGCTAAATTAACAGAGCTTGTTGGAGGTAAAAAAATATAATGCCAGTGAGTTTCCATGTGTTAGCAACGTTCTCAAACTTTACTGAATATCCCTTTGCTACTCTGTTACTGATTGCTCTGTACCTCTCTAATAGATGTAATGCATCATTTAAATTAAGAGCTTCAAGCTGTTAACTGATTGTTGCACAAAATCTCAGTGCTGTGCTTTTCATTTGCTCTGTCTTGTGATTTGATAAAATACATTAAAATTATTTATAGCTGATGCTGATTTTTCAGTTTCTTATACTTTAATTTGCAAATTTGGTGTTCTAAGTTTGTTTGTGAGCAATCATGATTTTGTGATTATTTTAATGTGGCTTGTATACTTGTAGCATATAAGCCTTACCAGTTTTTTTCAATTATGAAGTAGAAAAACTGCCACTCTTTTAATTTATTTTCTGAATATGTAATATCACAGGTTGTCGGTTGTTTTGTTTTGTTTTTTTTTAAACAGACCCAGGCCATATCTTTTTAAGGGAGATCATAAATTCCCAACTCTCAAAGAGGATGCCCCAGTGGTTATCCTTTATGCAGAAATGGGTACGAAAGACTTTGTCAAATTCCACAAGATTTTATCTGAGAAGGCTCAAAAGGAGGAAATTGTTTATGTTCTCCGGCATTATGTTCAGGTATGCAATTCAAATTGACATCAATTCAGTAAACTGTTAGTATTCTGTCTTTTATTTTGCTTCTTTTTGACAAAACACATTTTCTACATTTATTTTTGCATTTGCCTAAATGATGTGTGTGGTGGTTTGACCCACAGTGGGACCATGCGGTCCTGCATTCGCTCCCCCAACCTGGTGAGATGGGAAGGGAATCACAACAAAGGGGGCACGGGATTAGGAATGAAGGACAGGGACAGCTCCCTCACCAGTTATGGTCATGGGCAAAACAGACTCAACTTGGGGAAGAAAAATCAATTTAATTTGTTGCCATTCATCTGAGGAGATGTAACAACCACATCTTACAACGACTTCCCCCACCCCTCCCTTCTTCCTGGGCTCAAATCACTTTGCTCCTGATTTCTCTACCTTCCCCCTGCCCCACCAGCGACACAGGGGACAGGGAATGGAGGTTCATTCAGTTCACCATTGCCGTTTTTCCTGGCATGGAAGTCCAGGAACAAGATGTTCCAAAGTGAGCTTCCCATGGAATCACGGACCTCTTTGGGCTCAGCTCCCGGCTCCGGCATGGGGACATCCACAGGCTGCTGACGGACCTCAGGTCCAGCACACCTCCTCACCCCGGCTCTGGCAGCAAGTGACTCTTGGGGTCTCAATTATGTAAGGCTCAGCTCTTCGGTTCCAGCGTGGAGTCCTCCATGGCCTACCCATGGGTATCTGCTCTGCCATTGAACCTCCATGGGCTGCAGGGATCTCCTTTGCCTTCTCCTACTCCATGGGGTTGAGCTGGGTGTCTGAGGTTCTGTCCTACTCCTCCTTCCTCCTGACAATGAAGCTCTCTATTTAGGCTGATGGTTGTCTTTTGTTCAGGTCAATGCCCTCTCCTCCAGGTACCACACCTTCTTCTCAGGACAGTCCTTCCCCTCACAAATATGGATTCACAGAGGTGTTTCTATAGTGCTCAGTGGCCCAGCCTGGGCTGGGGGGTCTCTGCCTTGGAGCCAGGGGAGCTTTTCACTCTCACAAGGTGCCCCTTCCCCCACTGCCAAAAATGCCACCCTGCCCCTCCCCTCCCAAACCCAACACAATGTGCAATATATATTCTAATTTTAAAGCTTTCTAGGTGAAGTGATTCACCTAATAAGAACTTTGGTGCTGGGAAAGCATGATAATGTTATCTAATCCTGCATGCAAGCACTGTTTGCATCACTGATTGATCTTGAAATATCTCTTTTTTTGGTTATATGTCTTATGGTAGTGTGTTGTATGAAGATCTTGGGTGAATCTTGGTGCAACAGAGTGAATATATAAGTAACAAGAATTAGAAAACTCATAAATAGAATAGAAAATCAAGTTGAAAAATAATTGATTATAATTATTTTATATATTTGATTATAATTATTTTATATATTCTCAATATAATCTCATATGTTCATTGTAGTACAGCTGCATGGGCTATCACAGTCAACATCATTGATCAGTTTTTCCACACTTGCATTCCACAGTGTCAGTATTTTAAACATAATGTTTCTGAATGCTTTTCTTAACTTACTTTTCTGCCTGAAACAAAACAAGACAAATACCATTTAATGGAATTATATTGTCCCTGGTTTTGGTTATTGGAAGGTTTTTCTAATTTATATTCAAAGTACAGCTCTTAAATAGTGTGACTAATACAAGAATAATCTGATGGAGTGAGAGGTTGCTGTGACTTATGTAGACCAGGCATTGCAGAGAGATGAGATCCATAGTTTGTAGATGACTCTTGAGTTGTTTGCTCAAAGTAATGAATAGAGAATTTGAGGAAATCAGTCTTAAATTCTAAGTTGCTTTTACTGAACTTTATGTTCTTTTATGCACTTTTATTTCAATTAAGTACCTACAGTCTCCTTGCTCTGATCTGCTTATGCACCATGGCTTGCCAAATGCATGTTGTCTTCCTGCACTTTTTCTCTCTTCAGATTCCCCTCCCTTTTCTTCCCTCCTCACAGCCTGCATTTTTATTCTTTGGTTCCCCCTGAGATGGATGGTCCCTCCTTTTTTACATTAAATGCCAGAAGAGGGAGCATTGAGAGTAGAAAAGGTACAGTCTTTCTGCTGTAATTTTTTATTGCCAGTATCACTGAGACTGCTTAGAGAGTGCTATGCTCTCTCTGCTTTGAGACATGCTTAGAGCACCAACGGAGAAAACCCCCAGCCCTGCTGGTTTTCAGCTGTGGGCTGGAAGATTCTCAATCCAGAATGATTCTTAGAAATTGCAAGCTGGAAGTCTTTCAAGAAATCACTGCTGTGCATGTGCAAATTGTGTTTTGGAAAGGGGATTTGCATACATTTTGGGCAAATTAGGGCACATTTTTTAAATAAGTATACTCTGAGTAATTACAGTATTGAATGTGTGATAGTTTAACTTAACTGGCAGCCAAACAAGACACAGCCACTCGCAGAAACCCTGCCCCCTTCCCCCTCCACGGGGAAAGAATTGGATGGGTAAAGGTGAGTAGACTTGTAGGTTGAGATAAGAACAATTTATTAATTAGAGTAAAAATAAAATTAAAATAAGAGTAATAACAATAACAACTGTGTGTGTATATATATATATGAGTGATGCAGAGTACCATGGCTCACCACCCACTGATAATGATCCTGGAGGAGCGAAAAGGAACCCTGAAACCAAAATCGCAATCCCGGAAAAGCGAGCCTGAGCTATTCCTGAGAGAATCCCCCCGTTTACAGTCAGCCTGTCAGTTTAGTTAATATACTAAATATGACATAATATGATATGGAATATCTTACTGGCACATTACTAACTACTGCACTTTTCTTCTCCAGTCCCCCCTTTCAGTCCTCTCTTCTTGGAAACTGCCCAAGCGCAGTGTCCTTGTAGTTATCAACATTTCTTTTCATAACAATCTTCACTGAAACCAAATCACAAGGCTTTCTAGTTACTAAGAAGAAAATTAACCCTATCCTAGCAAAGACCAGGACAGAATGACAAACTTGCACTCCAAAGCTAGAAATACTTGCTTGTTTTTAATAAGTGGCAACCTGGTTTTAGTGGTGATACTTTAATACATTTTCTTAATCCTCCTTGCAGAAAGTGATTAACTCTTTCATCAAAATGTTTTTTTTAAAAAATCTGTCTGATGCAGAAATAGACAATTTCCTCCTATCATACTGAAAGTCTGGCAAAATTACAAAGAAATTAGTAAGAGTTTAAAATGTGAATTGTAAGGCATCAATAATTGTATCGGGTGCTGCCAGCTCTGCCTGTTCTAGTCTTTCTTCTAATATTATGTGAAGGGACTCCAGTTTTGACACGGCCTTTCTGTGGTCTGCAGGAGATAAGGGAAGTCCTCGCTTTCTGTTACACACCTCCTCAGTGGACTGTCAGTATGCCTTACTTGACTCTTGTAATTTGTTTAGTGTAGCATTTTGTACTTTGAATCATAAATTGAAAGATAAATTTAAGTTACAACTGTCATAACGTTTTAAGGTTACAATATTAGATATTGTTAATCTCCTATAAATACATTTTTTTAAGTAACATTTTTTTGTTCTGTTCAAACAATGTCATCACACAGAAACCAAGTTCCAGAAAAATGTATTTGTCGGGATATGGTGTAGAACTTGCAATAAAGAACACAGAATATAAAGCAGTAGATGACACACAGGTTAAAGGTATGTGGGTTTTATTTATTTATATCTTACTGGAGATACTATTGAAATATATTATAATCTTCAATTAAGTCAGTAATGTTTTGAAGGTTATACTTAATTTCTTTTTACAGAAGGAAGTCTCAGGGATTAGGAGCTAAGACATCAAAATATATGCAGGCATTTGTAGACATCTGTGCTTAGGGTATAGTTCATTACCTAACCTCTAATTGTTGTTTGCTGTGACTCTTCAAAGCATAACTCATTCTGATTCCTTTCAATAAGTATTAGAATGTTTAACCTTTGTTCTTCAATTACTTTGTTTGTTGGCATCTCTAATCTGCTAATTACTGCAGTATCTACACATTAGTGTTTCAGGGGTGAGAGTTTTTTCCTGAATTTATGTGGAAATACATTCACAATCTTTAGGAAAGGTGTGCTCTATCATGGAGTTTGGTACCAGTGTATGTATGCTACTACCTGTTGAAATGAGACATTTACCACAGGAAGTGGTAACTATAGCATTCTGGCACAGAGAAATAACTTTGCGTGGACATTTACAAGATATAAAAGAAAATTAATTAACTCTCTTTGGTAGGACTAAGGTTTAATAGCCTTTGAGTCGTGTCAAAAATAGTTTAATTTTTTAAGGGAAAAAACCTTATGTCTGACATCAAATGCTAGCTGAAGATTCAAGCACTTTAATTCATCATGCTTTTCAAACATAAATTTAGTAGTAGTTGGCTGATAAGAGTTATACCTGAGCACTTAATCAAACCAAGAAATGACTGTTTTGAGAAGTGAACTATTTAACCATATCAATTTCATTTGTATAAAAAATTTAACCATTGGATGAATTATATTTAAAAACCAGTTTGAACGATGCTAAGTTCTGTAAAGTGATTTATTCTGATGCCAAAATATGAGTGCATAAATACAAATGTAATTGAAATAACATCTGGGAACAACAACTTCTTGATTTTATGTTTCTGTTAACCATTTTATAATTCATAAGAACATAATACATCAGTAAATTTCTTGGTTTGTTATCTACATGTGCTATGTGTTCAGGAGCGAATGAGACAAAAGAAGAGGAAGATGATGATGAGGAGGAGGAAAGTGATGTCCAAGGATTTCTCTTTGGCAAATTAAAGTGAGTTGATAAAAGTTTTAAACTTCTGCATTTGTTTCTGGAACCTGAACAAAAAATAACTTTTTTTTTAATAGAAGTAGTGAGATTATTTTGGAAATTACTTTATTTGCCACTGGCAAAAATTCTGTTTAATTTTTTGTGAATGTAAAGATGCAACAGTTGTTTGTCCTGTTCATTTCAATGTATTGCTTTTAGTTTTCTAATTATCTTAGAATCTGTACAGTAAACTGTTTTTAAAGTAAAAAAATTGCCTCTAGGCAACAGTCACAAAAACTTAGAACACCGTGTTTTCATGTTTGTACCTACAGTAAATTTTTGCTGCTACTTTTCAGATAATTGGAATCAAAATGTTGGTTTTCAAAATTGAAGTAGTAGCACAACAAATCCAAACCCATGTGTTTTAGCTACATAAGATGTTTTCAAGGTGGATAGTAATTTCTTAGAGTTAAGGAGTGATATTTGTTGGAAGATATGCTTTTTATAGATGTCTTCTTATTTTGGAGTTCATGACTTTGTGTTCTGTTCCAGCAGGAACTCTTTTATCTCCAAGTTACAATCTGGTAGATGAAATTGGATGCTACCCTCTAGAGGGCTCCTTCCAGTCCTCCACTGATGGATTAATTTTGTGGTTACAGTCATCAAAAGTGCTTCCCTTTTCCTGTAATAGTGAATTCATGCAGTGCATCATAAATCCTGTTTTTTTTTCTTACACAAGAAATACAGGAGTGTGGGTCTTCTCTAGTGTCATTCTCTCTTATTATTTAAAGCAAAAAGTAATCTTGCTTGTAGGTATTCTCACCAAGCTGTAAGTCTTCTCGGAATTCAGAGCTGCTTATGTTATCTAAATTCTTGAGAGCCTGTCCCCTTTCTGCCTTTTTTAAGTAAACACGTTGAGAGAGAAGTATGCCCAGATCTGTAGGCTTCCTTGTGATTTCACCTGTGTATTAGAGACCTTCCCCAGCAGTTAATATCAAATGCTTATGTCAAATCATTTTCTGAGCTTTTTTTCTTCTTGGATTGTGCCAGGTTTAGCTATACTTAAGTTCTTTTATATTGCACTGTGACTATTTTGTGGAGCTGTCAGATAATTACTCAGGTTTTTTTTGACATTGCTTCTAGACTCATTTTTTTCTTCTTCTTTTCATACTGGAGATGAGATATTTCAGTAATCTGTAAATTGTCCCTCCGTTATAGCCATGTCAAAGGTCTTAGTTTTCTCAGTTGTAAATAGCTACAAATGTAAGCAGGAGACATAAAATCCTAGAAATATAACTATTTGATTGTGAAAATTAACATAATTCAATCCCACATCATGATAGATATCCAGAGAGGGTAGCTTTTTTCAGTTGCTTTATATGTGTTTGATTTTGTGCACACATTGGCCGTAGCGCAGGTGAACAAGACTGAAAGAGGGCAGGTTTAGATTAGATGTTAGGAAGAAATTATTTCCTGTGAGGGTGGTCAGACACTGGAACAGGTTGCCCAGAGAAGCTGTGGATGCCCCCTCCCCGGAAAAGTTTAAGGCCAGTCTGGATGAGGCTTTGAGCAACCTGGTCTAGTGGAAGGTGTCCCTGCTGATGGCAGGGGGGTTGGAACTAGATGATCTTTAAGGTCCGTTCCAACCCAAACCATTCTGTGATTCTATGAAATTAGGGACCAAGCATCAATAATAGATCTTGGTTGTGGCTTGTGGCTAGGTAACCTTGCAAAGAAGGCAGTAAAAACAGTAATTAAAAAGCTCAAAACTAGTTAAGAGTTTGTTACTTCATAAACAGATTTCTAAGGGTACGAATTATATTTGTCATTTCTAGGTCTATGTCACAAGTAAAACAGAAAAAAATTTCTCTTTGCTTCCCTTTACAGTTGAGTGTGTTCTCTTTGAGGAACCTGGATTATATTTTAGTTCCCTAACAGCAGTCTTCGTCAGGGAAATTTTTCTTTTTCTATAAAGAGCAATGATTAATATCATCCAACAGTTAAAAAATGAGGGAGGGATTCCTTGTGAAACTTTTAAATGTCTAAAATAAAATATAAAATGTTACAGAACTTAGTCTTAATGCTTTAGGTGTCTGTTTGTAGCTACTTTTTGTTTCTTGTTCTATACTTCTAGTAGAAGAATCTTTAGCAATCTAGTGGAAATCGTTGACGTTCAAAGGTGTCTTGTAGCAGACTGAAATCTTTGCCCTCAAAATATCTTTGCCTGATTATGTTTAAAAAATAAAAAAATAAATACCCAAGCTTTTGGGCACCATGCTTTCCTTCATGTCTCACTAGTGATTTGTGTGCTCATTACCTTGATTTTGTCAGTGATGTTAATTCATAGGTGTTCTCAACATTATCTTACCTATATCTTTTGTAAGTAATACAACAGACTTTCTGTACAGTTGCAGTTAATCTGTGGTACAGTTAGTAAACTTTATGCTATAGTAAACTAACTATATGGTTACCTGTGTTGTGTGTTAACACTATTTAATCTTTGAGTTCATTTATTCCATCAAAATTTATGTGAGAGGGTTTGGGACAGATCACTATAAAACGATTGAACTCCTTGTAATTAACTGCTTTTTAGTCCTCAGGAATCATCTCTTCTCACTCCAAATCCTCATTTTTGTTTTAGGAATGAATAAAAATTTTAATTCTTGCTTGCTACCTTAAAGATACAATGTTAGCCTTGAGCAATACTGTACATAAAAGCAGACATTGATCAGTGTCATTGATTTTGCATTTTAAAAAAAATGTTTTATTGTAGACAAATGCACCCTGATCTAAAGAATAACCTGAAAGAGTTTAAAAAACATCTAATTGAAACTACTAACAACATGGAACCGCTGAAGGTTTGGGAGCTACAGGGTATGTATTGCATTTTTCTGAATTAGCACAGTACTCTGTTTAATTTTCCTTTGTTATGTTGATGTATCAACATTATGGTAAAAGCTTCTTTTAAAAAGAGACATGTGGTTTCGTGAAAAGTCAGTATATACTTGATAGTATATATGGTTTCATGAAAAGTCAGTATATACTTGATAGTATGTATCAAGTATTTAAAAAGAATGTGTTGGTGTCTTGTTCTAGTATTATAGGCTAGAAATTAAAGGAGCATTGAAGAAATTCTATAAGATGGAGAATCATAACTAGGTTTCCTAATTTTAAAGACAGAAGTTATATTGCCCGGGTTTCTGCCTGATGTGTTCTCAGATGTTAAGTTTAGTTTCTGATATTTTTTTGAGAGACCTGGCAAAAAATATTATTTTCACATGATTACTGAGTCAGGTTAAGAAAGTTTTTCTTTAATTTATAAATTCTAACTTTTATCAGTGTACTGGAATTCACATTGATATTTTTTTAATACAACATCAAATGGAAGAACATACTTTTAAAAGCTTTCCTGTGGAAAAGGAGAACAAATATCTAGAAGTTGATTTCTAAACGGCTTCTCTGCTGATGACCTGCAGGTCATTCTGTTGCTTGAATGGAATTACAAATCACTGTAAAACAGGTCCCTAAAATGTCATGACACTTAAGTTTAGGCAACTAAATTTTGTCTGTTACATTCTTCATTCTTGGACTTGGCAGTGTTAGGTTTTCTGCTGGACTTGATGATCTTAAAGGTCTTTTCCAACCAAAATGATTCTATGATTCAGTTTTAGGGGACAACCTGATCAAAACTGATTTGCCTTTGTACTAGGAGACTGAACAGTCGTCTGAACTTCAGTTTCGTTTTGGGATCCTGACTGTTAACGGAGTTTGCCAGGAGTACCCGATCTGAAACTAGCTATTTGAGATAATTGTAGTTCACTTGCAGTCTTTTATCAATTAACTGCCTTCAACTGCAGGATTTATCTTGGTCCAAAGTTAAAAAAACCTGAAAAACATTACAATTCAGTTCTCCTGAGAAATTTACGGTGCAAATAAAAAGAAAATTCTCTTTTTGTCTATTTTTTAACATATATAATTGAATACCACTTTATTGCTGTTCAAGCAGAAGCAGCTGTGAAACTTTGATCCCTTTAGTGTCTACCTTCGAAAGCTAGTACAGGATCTCTGTTCAGCCTTTTCTGTGGTGTCATGGCTATATAAATAAATAAAAACTAGTGCTGGTCCCCAGGCAACCAGTTCATATAGTGTTAAGCTTTGGAATACTGTTTGTTTGGTGCCATGAAGACTGGTACTGGCTTGTGATAACTACATTCAGGGCCTTTTAGACAGGGGGTTTGCAGCCCCTCTTTGCATGGTGCAGTTGTTTTGATATTCTTACTCCTGACATGACTGGGTACTTTCTCATGTGCATTCTTAATGACTAATTACATTGACTGAGTTAATGGCTCAGATACTCTCTGATTTCCTTTAATTAGCTTCCAAGTAAAAATTTAACTAAATTTAACCAAAACTCCTTCTGCTATAGGGCATACTTCTATTTATAAATGGCCCAAAACACAATTCAAGAGTTGTCTTTCAAAAGCCTTTGTGTTTCAGGTAAATAATTAGGTTTACTATTCATAGTGAAAAATGATGCACAGAGTACCAGTGTGGTATTCCCTTTAATAACTCATTCTTTTATCTGTGTGAAAAGTTTCTCTAGTGCTTCGTTAGGTTTCAAAGCATACTTTGAGATCTGCTTTAAACTCAGGTTCATCTTTTCCCCAAGGTGCCCTATACTGCTCTTGGCTGTGTTAGGGTGCCATGAGGGGAGGTCTGTGACAGTCCCTGACCAGAGATAACCAAAAAGGTAAAAAGACATGTCAGTTTCCCTCAGTGGGATTTGAATATTCATATTGTAACTGTTCAGAATAAAATGGAAATGATTAACAATTTATGAAGGATTTTAAGTGTATGTCCTAAGTGCACAGCAGGTAAGGCATCCCTGTCTGTAGTAATAGCAGCAATTGGGTATTGCTTCACCTGATCACAACTTACCTGACTGTTCAAAGTGATCCGAAACATTCTTTTTGGAAACAGTGATCTCTTTATACTTTTAACAAAAAGTACTAACAAATACCAAGTTAACATTCCACCTCTCAGACTACCCTTTTTTCCAGCCAAGGTGTACCTTATCAGGCTAAACTAGAAATGTGTGCTATTCACTTTTCTTTGGCCTTTTTTTTTAATTCCTAAGTGTTTCAAAAAGATAGTGCAAAGTTCTAGTAGGCAGCATCCTCTATGACTTTCTGCCCAGCACTTTTTACTGTATGTGGCATCAACTTTCCTCAAACTGAATAACCTGAGGCCTTCTGTTTTTGCTCAAACATCTTAACTAGCAGATTATGAAGAAAAAGCATCATTGCCCTGATGTAGTTGGGCAGACTGTATCCAAAGTACATGGAAGCACCTGGTATATTATTGCCTTACCCTGTTGGTACCAAGATTGGATTTTCTACAGTTTCATATGCCAAGATTTGTCATACCCAGGTTAGGTACCAGAGAAGGCTAACTGAATTCCATCGGTTTTTTTCCAGTGGATAGGCAAATTAATTATAAAGTGTCCTGATATATGAGAATTAGTTTCATTCTGAGAAAAAACAGAGAATGAAAAATTGAGATCCCTTTAAAAATTGTACTAGACACTTAAGAGAACTGAAATTTGCCAGTAGATTGGCCTTTCTTTAATGAGTCTCCTTTTTATCTTCCTGTGAAACTGCTGCTACTCTTGAAAATTGTATACCTCACTTGCTCAGTACGGCCTCCTACAGTTAATATATCTTCTCTGAAAATCTTGTGAAGTCCTGGAGCTGGGAAGTTCTTATTCTTTACTGCAGTTATGGCTGTTCGTGGGTTGGTGTGTATCTAGGATATCCTTGTGATACTGGCATAATACAATGTGATGAATTGTCTTTTTTTTTCAGTGTGTTTTGAAAACTTAGAAATTACATGTACAATGTGTATGCTTAAGACAGCCAAGCAGAATTCTGTAGGAAAGCCTGAATTTTATGTTTCTAACTATGAAGTACCTGTCTTTTTGACCTTAATAATGTTACTTCACAATCTTTTACAATGCATAATTGCAACAAAAAAAAATGTTAATAGTCAGTGTGCATATGTATCAGTTTTCTGATTGTAGGCAGTATTGATAGTGTTATTTCCATTTATTTTTTTATCTTTTTTTCCCCCCCAGATCTTAGTTTTCAAGCAGCTGCTCGAATTATGTCTACCCCTGTTTATGATGCCTTAAAGGTAATGAAAGACATAGCTCAGAACTTCCCAATAAGAGCCAGGTATGATACTTAAGCTTGTTTTTCAAATACTGTCTTTATGTTTGCATTTGAATTTAATGACAGTAATACAGATTTATGCCTGAATCCTGCAGTCAGATATTCATATTTTACAGCTTGCTAGATGGATTCCAGGCAATTTCACTGAGTAGAAAATAACTCCTGGGAGAGCTCATGATGAGTCTCTTGAATGTTTCCTGTCTGATGCAGGAGATGCCATGAAGGCATCCTAATCCTTCAGGCACTTGTGGTTTAATGCCTAGTCCTCCCAGTTTTTACTGGAATTATATTTTCCCAGGTGGAAAATTCTGTTGAATTAATAATGGATCTACTCACAGTAGGAGGAGGCAGGATTGTGTTATTAAATTTCATAGAGGATTCACCCATGTTAGTTCTAAGTACAACATTGCTGACAAGACTGGGCTGCGGCGACTGTATGTTAGTGTTCTTACTGGGGAAGATCTGTTTCCCATAACACTTTACTTATTAAATGATCAAGATAAATATTAAGTAAATGAATAACATTTTCCTCTGTACTAATATTAAAAATTGTTCTTCCTGTAAGCCAGTTGTATTGTAATTGAGAAATACTTTTCTTTATATTTAATAAGTTCTTCATGTAATCTTGTCAGCAATATTTGCTTGAATTACTGAATTAAATATGATAGGATAAATAGGATTCTTAACTCAGTGTACTTTCACATTTTATAACTATTGTTTAATAATCAGTGTTTCATTGTCATCTCTGATTTTCTGTTAGAGAAAATCTACACTGTAATGGAAAAACTACCTTTGTAGCATCTTATTTCAAGGAAGAAAAATAACTTTTAAAATGTCTGAAATGTGTTTAACATGAAATAGTAGGGTACAAGTTTACACTTAGATTAGCAATCAGAAAATGCAGCTTTCCATAGAGGATACTGGAAATGTACATAATGTTGAACAGCAAAACCAATTCTGTTCTTTAAAGGAGAGGAAAAAGTCAGGTTGAAGTATGCCAGGTGACATTTAAATCATTGATTTAAAAAGTCACTAAATTGTGACATCCCTCTCTGACCCCCGCTGTGTATTTGTGGCATTAGAGCACAATTTACCTACTCTTCAAACGTTTTTATGGGTAAAAGTATAAGAAGACTTTAGGATTATTAAAAGGGGAATTGTAGTTTCTGTCCTGTATGATTTTTTTCTGATATGCTAATCTAGCATGCTATTTTTAACATGAGAGATTACAAGTATTTAAATAAATTAAAGTTAGTAGATCGGCATTGACAACAAACTTAAATTAAAGGGGAATTGTGTAAAAAGAGTGCAAAAAAATGTTTCCTTAATAATCTAATTGTGCTGAACCTGCTGAGTCAAAAATACCAGTTTGGGGGGAAAAAAACCCTAGAATAAACAGGAAATTAAAGAATGTTGCTTAATCACTTAAAAAGGTAACTGATCATTATAACAGTAGTATTTTAAAATTGTTTAAATTACATACGGATTAGATATGGAAACAGCCATTTTTTAATTATGCAAATTTTGGTTTGAAAAGGCTGTATAAAAATTGTAGAACTATACTTACGAAAACAAAAATTAAATATTATGTGGTCCTTAAAAGTTGAGAGGTTCCTTAGACCATAAAAAATGAATATCTTTCCTCTGGAAGTTTCTTTCACTTTCTAGTTTATAACCTGCATTTTTGTGTCTCAGTATTTCCAGTTGAAAAGGTTAGTCTGAGGTAGATTTTACAAAATGTCATCAGATGTAGACAGTATAACAACTAATATGTGTTATGGCGACATTTTGATAATTCATTTTACAGGGTGTTTTTAATCTTTTTGTTGTATATGTGTCATAATTACCTGTTATTTAAGAATGCAATAATAAGAATTATAGTACTATGTTTCTTGCTATTTGTTTATAATTCATAAATGTTAACATTATGAATATGTGAAAAGCTTCCTTTTTTCTCCTGCTATGCAGTACTACATAGCTGCATGTTCTTCCAGGTAAGAATAAAGATGCATAAAATTATGATAGAAAATATTACAGCCTTAAGGTCATACAAAGACATTCGTACATCATGTAGAGTAATAAATAGTATCCCATTTACTTTCAGACAGTAACATGTTTCTCTTTAGTGGGTCCTTAGCACTTAATATTTACTAAAACATGCATGAAACTTTATGAAGCTCTTGACAACTTGAACAAATAACTGAACTCAAAATAAACAGATGTCTTTCACAGGTACTTTTACACTTGTTACCTCAAATTCAAGTGTCCTTCTCAAGTATTGACCATCACACTTTTTCCCTAAAATCTTGGTAGAATCCTGGCATTGTCAACTGCCATGCATAGTCAAGGAGCCAGTTAACGATTCTTTAATGTATTGCTTTCTTATTACCAAAAAAGCTATCAGAAAAGCTTACCTTTTGCTGATAAGTATTTTACTTCCTTGCTAATGGTGGGCCAGCTTTGTCTTCTCTTTTCTGCTTTTTTATTGTTTTCACATTCATATTTTATGTTACTTACTACTCTAAGCTATTTGGAAAGATTTAGGTTGTTCTTTTTATCTGTGCAGTTTTTATCACCTGTCTATGCAGAATGAAGCATTGATTCTGAGAGTTGCAGGCTTTACTACTATTTGTTGAGCTTAGCAAGATAAAAATCAGAGCTTTTTTTTCCCCTAAAATATTTTTTACTTCAGGACACTCTAAAACTATTGCTGTGAAGTCAGAATGACAGTTGTGGTAGTACTGACTCATATTAAATTTCCACCTTGCTGTGGAGTTCTTCTGTGAAGTAGCTCTTTTGCTTATTGGCTAAGTAAGTTCTCAGTAATAATTCCCATCAATTACAGATGTTCTTTTAATGAGAGAGTTTTGTAGTGTTCCTGAATTATGTCTGTTGCTGGTAGAAGGTTCCTTAAAGCAGTGTCCTACATAGTCAGCTTTTGAGACTTCTGGCTTGATGATGTTTTTTCCTAATCTTTCTCCTTCATTTTTCCAAATTTAAATTTGGCTTCAGATATTCTTTTCTTTGTACTTACAGTTTCTTTTAATATTTTTTATATCTTAATCAGCAATGTTTCTCCTTCAACAGAAATATTTATAGTTTCTTGCTTTCTGTTCTACAATTTTTATTTCAAAACTAGTGAACACAGAAAGTAGTACAGTAGAAGATCTATTTACTCAGTATTGAATATGCTCACTACATTCTTTATGTGCATAGTGAGTACTTAGCAGTGTGATTATAAAAGCTTTATGGAAAAGACTTTAATTGAACAATAATAAGAAAGTTAAGCTCATCCTACAGTGACTAGTGATAATAATATATTTGAACCATGTTGACTGTTTTTTAGTGCTGTCTTTGACATCACAGTTTAAGTTACACCTTTCTTGTTTTGAGCCAAGGAAAGCCCACCAAGTATGGGTTGGTATAAATACAGCTCCTTCTTGATCTTCTATTGCCCTTCCCTCACATGGTCCAGAGGGGATTCGCAGTGACAAAAGTAATCTGCCAGAATATTTAGGGGAGTTGAATGGAAAAAGGGTATTTATCAGCAGTGAATTATGTAGTGTTTATAAACAAAGCTTGGAAATCATATTGTTTGCACTTACCAAGTAGTCTCTCTGATCGCCTGGAAAGCTTGAAGATTTGTTTCAAGTAAACTGGTTTTATGTTGTATTTCTGACATATTGTGAAACATGTAGAGTCTACCAGCAAGATCTATTCTAAATCAGTTTCTTTTTGGGAAGAGGTGAGGATTTATGTTCTTGAATAACTGCTTTATTATCCATAAGTATTGAAGTTGGCTTAGTAGGATCATTCTCAGTTTGTTTAGTTAACTTTGAGGTTTAAGATGACTTCAGTTATTCTTAAGGTCCCAGACAGATTTGCTAAAACACGCACTATCATGTTTTGAAAAGAATATGTAGACAACTGGAGTGTTTATTTTTGCATTTATTGGGAGAATCAGATTTACATTAATCTGGTTTAAAGTTTCTTAAAACATGGAGAGATTAATTTTTTCTGGTAGTATTTTATGATGGCCTAGTAATTATAAACCTCACATATAATACATTGTGTCAGAAGAATTTAAAATAGTGTTCCACAACGTTCTGGAAAACATAAAAAAGACAAGTTAATGGATTACCTTCTAAAGGTAGAATGACTAAGGAAACTAAAATTTTGACTGTCTGTGAATACTTAATATTTTCAAAGGTCTCAATCTGTAAATCTCTAATATCAGCTAATTTTAAAGTGATCATTTTTTGCATATTTTCCTTGCCTTTGGCCAAAACATCAAGTTGTATCCTTGTCCACCTGTGCTTTGATGTTGAGTAGCAACATTACCTGAAAATATGCAAATATGGCATTTATTTAATAATAATTTAGATGATAAAACAATTTTTTTATAATATACATTCTATTTTCCAGTAAAAACAAGAGGAAAGACTGAGAGTGGTAAAAAATACACTAATAATATTCAGTGAAACCTAGCATAAATTTGAAAATTGAGTTTACTAGAGTAACACAGAAAAAAATATTTGTTTTAAAAATAAAATATTTATGACACTGCATTATGCTTATTTTTAAGTCTTAATTACAGCATTCTTCAATTACAGTGCATTGGATATGATATTAAAATACGTATTTCACGTTATTTAACACATTTTCAAAAATACAGTGGTTGAGTGATACTGATATTTTATTTTTATAGATCACTGACCAGAGTGCCTGTAGACAAGAAAATGCGAAATGAAATAGAAGAAAATCAGAAGGTTTGTTTTTATTTCTTCAAGTGGACATTTAAGTTACTAGTACATTACTACTTTTGGAGATTTTTATTGGTGTAGGAAGTTTCACATGGTTTCTATCAGATAAAAAGAGCTAATTGAAACATCTTTCACTAAATAAATAACATTGAAATATCAATTCAATTTTTTCTTTCTACTGTTCTTGGTACTTTTTCCTTCCCCTCTTTTGATTTTACAGAATTAGGCAAGGCCAAACAATCTTTAGAGTGTTGTGTTCAGTCATAAATTGTGTGCTGTGAAAGCAAAATAGGTAGAAGTTAATTTTTGTAGAGCTTTGGTGAATCTAGGCCTTTTGCTTATATTATGGTCAGCACATGCTAGCTTTGAGCTTTCCACATGCTCAGAATTGCACGTGCAACTATGCTCCAAGGTATTTTCAACATTGTCTATGGTAGATGGTGGTTTTACTTTCATCCCTGATGCACGGCATCTTTTGTGCCTTGTATCACATGAGGAGTCCTTGTTCGTGTGGTTTTTGACTGATCTGAGATGTATCCTGGGATGCCACTTTGTGCTGTGGAGTTCATGACATCTGTTGTGTTTTCTGTCTCAGTTCAGAGCTTGGATTTTTTCTTCCAAGTTGGGTGTTAAAATTAACCACCATGCTTTTAGGACTGGTCACATGAAATGACATCCATAGCACTGTCCTTAATCTTGAAACACATATTTTCATATGGTGTCAAGACTGACCAACCACCATAGTGAAAGGGTTTCATTTCTTACTTACGGCACTCCTGTACTTTTGCAACATTTCCATGTATCATTTTGCTTTGTATCCATTCAGTCCTTTTCCTCTTGCCTTACCAAGACTACTATCTCCAGGGGAATGCCTTTCCAGTTTCTTCCACTTTCCAAAACAGTGAAAGTGAACAACGTCCCAGTTGCACTGATGCAGCCTTCTCATAAAGAGCTTGTTATCTCCATTGTAGGAAAAATTTCACATAGCAAAACTAATGTAAGGCTTTCCAGTCTTTATTTCCTGCCCAAATAGTGATGGGCTCAAGTGTTATGTCCTTGTAAATGGTTATGCAAACAATTTTATAGAGCTTTTTTGTCAATAAGTGATTGTGTGTGGGACTGGTGTATTGAGAATACATTTCACATATCGTAGCGGTTCACGTTCTTGAGCCCTTCACCTTTCTTGTGTGCAGGGTGCCTGTCTGATTCTTGGGTTTTCACAGACCTTAGAAGGGCTCAACGTTACGCAGGCCTCTTGTTTCTTGCACTAGTGAGAAATCCCATAGTTTTTGCTTAAGGGAGCAAATCAGTATCTGCACCGTGCTTCATTGCTTTCTTTGTACAGCTCAGATACACATTTTCCTATATCTCTTAGTTGTTGGGATTATAGTCAAGATGAAGCAAAATAAAGCCCTGATGATCATAGCTTCTCTAGAGTACAGGTGTTATCAGGACTTTCCTTGTTTCTTGTTGAAGTCTTTATAATGTCGTTCTCAAATTCCAGCTCTGTTAACACAAGAATTAAAAACAATTGCTTAATCAAAAACTGCTGTTACCTCAAAATGCAAAAAAAAAAAGTAAAGAAATATCAGGAGTTAAAAATACTGTTATTACTAAATATAAGGATTAGGAAAAGTAACTAAGATTTGGTTTGATATGAAGATGTCTGCATTTAAGCACATCTACATGATATCTAAACTCCTGTTCTGACAATGAAGATGTAGTCAATGAACATCAAAAACAATTTAACTCACTCAGTAGTTGTTTTGTGGGGCATGGTTGAGTTGCCTGAACCTGAATTTCTGATGTAATTTGAAATGCCACAGGCTATCCAAGATACCCATGCAGGTCTAGCACATGTGTTCACTGGGACATCCATTCCATTCTGCCTCACTCATACTTTCCAGTCCAAGGTGCCTAATCCTGAAACAAATGATGTTGGATATCTATGTGGTTGGTCAGCTGAATCACACCTATAATTCCATGACTGTATTAAATACATTCGCTATAAGAGGATCTTGGGCATCTCTCACACTAAGTTTAAATTTCATACTACATCCTACTTGTAGTCTAAAGGCTACAGGCCTTTAGACATCTAAAAGCTAAAATCTATTGAATAAATGTAGGGAAATCCTGAACACTGCTGCTAGAGTACAATAAGTTGGCATGTGCATTCTTGAGCTGCAGTACATCCATCTAGCAGCAGGAGAGATATGATCTCATGCTGTGTGTAACTGGATGATTCCCTCTCAAGATAATGAAAGTTGAATAGGAAATGCAGTGGGAGGAAATAAAGGTATTAAAAGTTGAAAGGCATGTGATAATTCAGGTGTAATGAATTGACTTAACTAAGAAATGGACAAAGAACTGCTATAGATAAAAGAAAAAAGAAAATCTCATTAAATGCAGCTCACAACTTCCAGTGCAATATTTTGCTGACAGTTTAGCAAGAAAATACTACATGAGTATTATCAGCATTAAATTCTAGTCTTAGATGCCTAAATACTCCTTCCATCAATGTTGTTATGGCAAATGGATGCTCTTCTGAGCAATCAGATGCCTAGCATCAAAATTGTGTAATGTCTCTCAGCTCTGATTTGGCTCAGTTCTTTTCCTACTGCAGTACTGAAGGATTTGAAAACTTCTAGACTTGTATTTCAATATACCCAGTGGCTGATAATTTTTCATTCATTTTGCTAGTATTAGGATTTTTATGACCTACATCAGCCAGTTGCAATCTTTCTCTGTATCTGTGTCTACATGAGTGTCTGGGCTTACAGTAATGACCATTAGTGGTAAGAGATCTCTTATCCTAAATGCTGATTTCAGTGCTTCAAGGAGAGGGCCTGTTCTAGCTGATCTCACAAGATCTGCACAAGAGCCCTGAAGGATGCTGGCAAGATTTCTTTAGACTGTAATTGTCTTTGTATTTATTGTTCACTCATTGAGTCCACTGGCATTAAGAGGAATTTTTCTGTGGTCACAGTACTTCATGGCACAATGCTGGTATTGAAACTGTATATCCAAGTTGGATTTGCTAACTACAGAAAAATTCCAGGTATACTTAGGACTTGGGGTGCTTCTCTGCCTGGTGCAACTAAGTCTCATCACTGTGTGTTTAATTTTGTCCCATCTGCCTGTTTTGGTTGTGTCTCAGGATCAAACTCTGTGTAGGTAAAATAATCAGAACTTTCACCTGCTGCAAGGGCACTTGGCATTGTCAGGCATCTATGAATTTTGGCTGCTTAGAAGGAACATGTAGAGTGAGACCTTGGGAGAGTGTGTAATTCTGTGTGAAGCTGTGGTAGAAAAAATGTAAATGTCAGACACCAACCACTACTTACAAGGTTTATGTTTTTTTTAATGATTGTGTGAGGTTTAACAAAAATAAAGTCCTCCACTTGGGCTAGAGTAATCCAAAGCAGCAGGTAGCTGTAAAGAAGATAGAAGTCCTTCCTCTTCTGTGCTAAGTATTGAGACATACAAAAAACCCCCCACATTTCTTTAATTTATATGAGTATATGATTTGGAATAAAGTGAGTTTTATAAATTAGGGAAGTAATTAAATTATCTCTTTCTTTTTTTCATTATCTGACCAAAGGAAAACGACTGCCATGTATTTATTCTCATTTTTGAAAGCCCACTGACATTCATTTTTTAGGTGGCTACTAAAATTTTCATGAAAGATAATAAACTAACTAAATTTAAAAAGTCTTTCTGGTTATTTCTTAGCAGTAGTGGGATGCAGGCTCTCCCAAAGGCACAATAATCTACGTATTATATCTGAGTTTGAATACATGTATTTAGATACTTTGTAACAAGCATAAGTAATTATATTACTCTTTTGTAAATCTAATACCAAAAAAAAGCAATGAAAGCACTACGAAGTTCAGGTTACACCATTAGAATAAATTAAATTTACAAATTTCAAAAGCTGTTTTTCAAGGTCAAGGACAAGTTTGACATTCATAAAAATTCTTTGTGTTAGGCTTAGGCTTGTCACAGCTGCATTTTTGCTTCATGGAGAGCCCTGCCTTTCAAACACTGGTATTAGGTGCTATTACATATTTCCATTTTGCTTTGGGTTGTGAAAATGTTTATATATACTAAGGAATGTGGTACCTTTTCAATGAATGATGAGTAATATGCACATATGTTGGATTATAAGGAGTTTAAGTGAACTGTTGTCTCATTTATGTGGAGTTGCACTTGTAATGCCACAATTAGCTTCGAGTTTATTTACATTTAACTGTGTGAAACTAACCACACTACTTTAAAGAAATAATATCACTTTCGATGTTTTCCCATTTTTTCCTCTCATTTGTTCAGTGATGGGCTTATAAGTGGAGTCATATTTGCAGCCTGAGTTGCTTGCTCTAAGTGTACTTTTGTTCAATTATTTTGTTCAGCAAGTAGGAGCTAAAGGGGGAAAAAGTATATCTTTCTCAGCTTGCTTTTTGTCTGCATATTTTTCCATTCCTCTGTTGGGAATTAAGACAGATTTGGAAATCTGACTGCTCCTCATGGGGCAAGTTGGAATAAAGTACTGCTGTTGCTCCTGTTACTTATCTTGCTACAGCCACCACCGTAGGTTGAACAGTGTGGTGCCTCACAGCTCTCTGAAATAAAATGATAAGGCATGCTTTACTCCCTAAATACTTCCTTCTTCTTGTATTCATTTATTGGGGATTATTTTTTTCTTCTTTGCAAAGCAAGGATATGCTATGCTATCCCTTTCTGATCTGTGTTTTTTCCAAGGTCCCCTTGTTAGCTGAAATTGTATGTTTCTAGTCTGTCTTTCCTCATTCCCTGTAGCAATTGCGACTACACGTTTTTTGTAATTGTGAAAGGTGTTAAGCTATTGAGAAAGCTAGTTTCAAGTGGAGGTCTGAAGGACACATATAAGGTCTCTCTGTTGAATGGATATGTAGGAGTAATTTTTCAAAAACTTACAAGCCTTATTTTTGTACGTGTGTGTATTTTCACTTTCTGTTAGCAGACACTGAGAATGTCCTTGCCTCTACCTTGTACAGGTGGGGACAGTATAGGTTGCTTGAGGAGGAATTATCAGCTATTTTAATTGGGTTTTGTACATTGAAGAGATTTGATGTGTCTATTTTGGAGAACTACTTAAAAGGGGTTTTTAATAGATATATATTTATATATGTGTGTTAGTGTTGACATATGCCAAAGTAAATTAGCAGTACTTTTTACTTTTTAGCATTTTCATGAAATACTTGGAATCCAACCAGGAGAAGCACGTTTATTTCTAAATGGCCTTCATTTTGACCTAGATTTTCATGATCCTTTTAGGTAAGACAGTACATTTTGTTTAAAGATTACAGAATTACTAATAATGCTGGAGAAGTTGTGCTCATGGTGATAGATGATCGCATCTGTTGCATTTTGGGGGGCAGGAAGTGCTCCAGTAGAAAAAAAATACTGGCTTACAGTGGTTTTGCTTTGAATATGAACATTGTATAAGCAGTCGAAAACAGCATTCTCTCTTGGAATATGTTTTCTAATTTGCTTACAATTTTATGACTCACCATGTAAAATTAATTTGGAAATGGAAGGAATCCAACATGTATGCATAAAAAAGTGGGAAAAGCATGTTGTAAATGACGTGCTTTCACATCCCTGTTTTTTAAAAATTACAAAAAATGTGCAGGCATTACATTTAGATACACAACACCCTGGGTTATTTTTGGCATAGTTGTGAGTCTGGCCGCCTTTTATAATAAGTTCTGTTCATGCAGAACTAATATGCTTTTTGATATAAGAAATCTGATTCCAGTTTGTGTAATTATAGTACAATAGTTTTAGATGTGACTTGCATCTTCTGTGCAAGCACTCGTAAACTGTAAACATTTCTCCTTGCATTCTTTTATAAGTTGTCAATAGCAGAACAGACACGACTACTTCAAAGTCATCTTTGGTGGTCTGCAAACTGTCAGTAAATCTACTGATACTAACACTGAGGTTTTTTTTCATGTTCCTATGATTTTTCAGAGTCTACAATTTTTTATATTCTGTTTTTTAACTCAAAATGTCATCTTTTCTCCTCCATGGAGATTCTTAAACTTTCTTGGTTTTCTCATTTATACTTGCAGTTTTTACTTAATTTTTTTCTCAGCCAGAGTTTAGAGATGGAATCACTTGCATCTCTTTTGGTAATGACATAAGTATTAATAGTGCTTTTTTAATGCTAGTGCTAGGTTTAATTTCAATATATTTTAGAAGAAACCTTTCAGAATAGAGAAAACTCAAAATGAAACAAGACAAAGGCAGGCACTTTTGCCTGCTGTGTCCTGCTGGTGAGTACTTTAGGTTTGTTTCCATTTTCATACTGAATTTTCAGATTGCAACAAATATTCCAGGTTCCTGTTGAGTCTTCTGGGAAATAGTTGTCTTTCAGAGTTGTAGCTATGTGTTTTCTCCATGCTGTTCTCAGGGTTCTGCCATGATACAGACTTAGAGCTTGTCGTCTGTGCCTCCATCACTTGCTGCCAACTTCTCCACACACTTGCAAAGCTTCCTCTTAGGGTACCCTCTGCTTGGGTGTCTGCCTCAGCCAGGACAGTGCAGCTGTCCTACCATGTCTTTCTAAAGATGAATAAAATTCCTTTATTAATGTGAATGAACAAAAGTGTTGTATAACTCATTACAATTCTGTTATTTTAAAATAAGTTGGAGACAGACTGTTGTTAACTGATTTTTGTTTTAAACATTTGAATGCAGGAGAACATAAAATTTATTTTTAATACTAAAAATAATCCTCATGTAAATAGTCTTTGAAATATTTTTTCTTTTTATGTCATGACAAGAGTTCTATGTAGACATTATGCATTTTGTCTTCCTGTAAAAGTATCTTAGAGACTCTTAAACTGGAAGGAAAAGTGATGCATGGCCTTCACGAACTTGGAATCAAAGAGGAGATCCTGAGTAAATTTATGAGGTTGCATATCCATCCTACAGATGACAGTTATGTGCTAGATATTCGTCACTCTTCAATAACAGTAAGTAATTAAACAATTAGTTTTTAAAATAGTAAATATTTGATAGTGCTATGTATGAGACAGTCTGTCTTTTTTGGTAGTGTAATTTAAATACTAGGCATAAGACTGTATATCAATATGCAGTTTAAAATATTTTGGAGGGTGATATCTCTTCAGGGTATTTTAGGAGTAATTTTCTGTAGCCTATACCTTATTAAAATTGTAAGATGTAGGATGTTTAAAAGAAAAGAGGAATGTTTTTAACAGTAGTTGTACACTCATAGCTATAGAATTTGACTTTATAGCAATTAATCTAGCTACATAATATCTTTGTATTATTCAAGACTGCTACGTATACTTTACAAGTACAGTAAATGAATTGTGGACAACTTAAATATTTTGTTCCTAATGGTCCAATGACTGTTTTTTCCCCTTCAAAATTTATACAGTCTTCATTATAAAGGTTATATGCCAGTGGAAAAGGCACTGAAGTACTAGTTTTCTTCACCTGAAAGAACCATATTTCACTCTTCTATTTACCAAGTATAGACCGACTTGCATAGAAAACACTAGAAGAACAAACTGACCATATATTAATTAGTTATTTTGATATATCTAAGGTGCTGCTGTGTGTTATAGATAAATACTGTCTTACAAGATGGTTGTGCTGTTACACATGTATCTATGTGATGTTATGACCTTTGTATTGTGAAAATAGTTTCCACACTTGAAAAAGTTTTTATTCACATCCTGATACAGAGTACAAATGATCTTTTTTCCTTTTCTATCCATTATTAGTTTTATTATGTACTGCAAATAAAAACCCAAACCAGTTTGATTTAAAAGAAAAAAAAAATAATTTTAGCAGCTATTTTTACTATTTAAATCAGAAGATAACTTTACTCTTTCCAGGCTTTCCTTGTGTTTTCAAATATCTTTATACATACATATTTTACTTAATGCTTAATGTGTCCTTTTTTTGGCTGACATTTTTCTTAGTGGGTTAATAATATAGAACAAGATCACAGCTATAGCACATGGCCTGCAAGCTATCAGGAACTACTAAAACCCACATTTCCCGGAGTTATACAGCAGATTAGACGCAATTTGTTTAATTTGGTAAGTTCAGAGAACTTAATTTATGTATTAACATGTGGACAATTTACTGAAAAATACACATGCTGTATTCATTAAGATAGGTTGGAATTTCATGTTTTCTATATGGATAGTAGTGAAAATTGCTTTTGTTCAGTGAGTCATATGTGATTATTAGTCTGATTTGCAGAAGTGGACTTGGGCACAGTTTTGTCAGGAGCTTTTCTATTCCTTTGCATGCTACATATAGATAATTCACTACTATCAATGAATTTTCTTCATAGTAGGCTACTGAGGGAAGGTAATAACAGTCCTTGTTTTAGGGCAGGAAAACCGAGGTACAAAAAGATTTCAGTTATAAAGCATACTAATTACTAATGTCTTGTAGCCTGATTTTTCCTCTGTACCTAGTGTTCTGTATCAACAAGTTAAGGAAACAACTGTTGCTAATTTAAATTTAAATTACAAAAGGTAATTGTATGAATCACAGAATCATGGAATGTTTTGAGTTGGAAGGGACCTTTAAAGGTCATTTAGTCCAACCCTCCTGCAATAAGCAGGGATGTCTTTCACTAGATCAGGTTACTCAAGGCCCCATCAAACCTGACGCCGAACATTTCCAGTGATGGGCCATCCACAACTTCACTGGGTGACCTGTTCCCCTGTGACTCCTGTGTTGTCTCACCACCCTCATTTCTTCATATCTATCTAAATCGACCCTCTTTTTGATTAAAACTGTTACCTCTTGTTCTGTCACTACTGTGTCACTACTACTGGTAAAAAACCTCTCTACATCTTTCTTATAGGCTCCCTTTTAAGTACTGAAAGGCTGCAATAAGGTCTCCCTGGAGCCTTCTCTTCTCCAGGCTGAACAACCCCAACTCTCTCAGCCTTTCCTCACATTAGAGGTGTTCTATCCCTCTGATCATTTTTGTGGCCCTCCTCCAGACCTGCTCCAACAGGTCTGTGTCTTTCCCATACTGAGGACTCCAGAGCTGGACACAGTACTCCAGGTGGGATCTCAGCAGAGCAGAGGGGCAGAATCACCTTTCTGGACCTGCTGGCCACACTTCTTCCAATGCAGCCCAGGCTACAGTTGGTTTTCTGTGCTGTGAGCACACATTGCCAGCTCATGTTCAGCTTTTCATTCAGCTTTTCATCCAGTATTCCCAAATCCTCCTCCACAGGCCTGCTCTCAGTCCCTTCATCCAGGCTGCATTGATAATGGGTCTTGCCCTGACCCAGGTGCAGGACCTTGCACTTAGCCTTGTTGAACCTAATGAGATTGACATGGGCCCACTTCTCAGGCTTGTCCAGGTCCCTCTAAATGGTGTGCCAACTGCACCACTTGGCTTAGTGTCGTCTGCAAACTTGCTGAGGGTGGACATGATCCCACTATGTCATTGATGAAGATACTAAACAGTACTGGTCCCAATATGGACCCTTAAGGAACACAATTTTTCACTGATCTCCATCTAGACATTGAGCCGTTGACCACTACCCTCTGAATGTGACTATCCAACCAATTCCTCATCTACCCAGTCACTTATCCGTCAGATCCATCTCTCTCCAGTTTAGAGGGAAGGCTGTTGTGGGGGACTGTGTCAAAGGCTTTACAGAAGTCCAGGTAGATTACATGTATAGTTCTTCACTTGCCTGCTGATGTAGTCACTCCAAGTGACATGAAATTCAGTATATAAAAAAGACAACCAAAAAACAATCAATATGTAATTAAAAAAAAGTATCTTTATAGTAAAGCATGTGTGTAATATGCAAGTGTTATAAATATTACAATATGCAAGTAAATTGTATTATGTGTACAAAGTTAAATATTGGCCTAGGTGTATATAATGGCTGTTGTATTACAGAAATCTACAACATATCATTTAACTATAATGTAAGGGGCATGGTGTGTTCAAAATTTTTAAAATTATTCTGCTGCATTTCAGCTGCTCTAGCAAAATTTTGATAAATTCTAAGGGGAGTTGCAATGCAAAGCTGAATAAATAAGGTACCACTGTTACAATTAAATCTGCATAAGGATAACCTACCTATGCAGACAGAGTCCTGGTTTAGATTCTGAAATATCTGATTTTACACTTCAAGCTACAATAAGTAAAAGAGTGAATGTGACTGTATGTGAGACAGGAAGGAAGAATTCTTTCCCAGTGCTCCACTTCTTAATTAAAGTTTTAAGTCAATATATTCTGCTTATTTATTTTAGTTTGATTTTTCACAATATAAGAGAGTTAGTTGAAAGAAGTAATAGAAAAATCAGCCTAAAATCCTTTTTAATTAAATATCAAGTTCATCAATAAAAACAAAGTAGTGGTACAGAGTCTTTCAAAGGAGAGTAGTGATATCACTTGATTTTAAGTTCAATAAGAGATTAAATCCTGTTTTCAGTATTTGGTCCAAATCCATTAATTCTGAAGCTATTTTCATTTATGCTCTTCATGTTTTCTTACCATGAATGCTCTAGGAAATTGAAAACAGTTGGAGTGCATAGCTCCTTTGGAAATTTCTGTCCTTATCTTAGATTTTATGTCTGAAAAAAAAAATTAAAACAGACATCAAGAATAAATATTGGCTGTCTGATGTGTTTTCTTTTCTTAGGTACTTTTTGTTGATCCTGTCCAAGAAGATACAGGTGATTATATGAAACTGGCAGAATTATTCTATCATCATAATGTACCACTTAGGTAAGGAAAACTGAAAGTCTTAAAGAAAAGTCTTAAAGGAAGGTTGCTTTCCTTCATCTTCTTTTCTGCTAGGCAAAGATGTGAATTCAAATGAAGTCCAATGTAACAGCATTCTAATAAGACACATTGGTTACCCACTTGTGTTAAGTTTACTTGGGTATTAAGTATTCTTAAGCAAATAGGTTGCAAGGGATAACATACCTGAGTGTGTGGAAAATGAACTGTGAAAGTCTGGTAAAAACTTCTCTTGTCAAATAGTTCCAATGGATGCCCATGTGAAGTGGCATTCTAAGCAAAATATTCTGTAAACAAAACATGATTTGAAGGCGTTTTTAATTTAGTTCTCTTAATTGAGGTTACTGTACCTATTTTTTTTAATATAAATACTTAAAGACCAAAGCGAGATTATCCCCACAAAGTTTTGAATTCCTAAAAATTAGTTGTCTGAGTCTGAACTAGGAGTCATTTGAGAGAAAGAGGCGCTTCTGGGGAGGAATCTGGCTGATCTGAGATGCCTACTTAAGGAAAAAATGAGTTGCTCTCAGAAGTGCCTGTTTATTTCCACAGCTTAGAAAAGAAGAGAAAGGTATCCAAACTAGATACAAGGCTCAGCAAGATGAATTCCATGTTAAATATTTAAAGTCTTCCTCTGAAATGGCTTTTTGTTTCCTCAGTAAATTACAGATTTTTCATTTTCCTTTAAAATATTACTAATTTTAATAATTCTTTTGTTTTTTATCATTTAATGACAAAAAAGTAATGGAGGACAGATATTAGTTACCTGTGCATTTTGCCACTGTTGTCACTACCTGGGAGATAATACTGCTTCAGTCCTTGAGGAGAATATAGCCTAGAACCTAATTTGTCTTTTCTGATACATAACAGCAGACATAAGAGCAGACAAACTGGGTCAGACCAAAAGTCCATTTAGGTCAGTCTGTTTGCAACAAGCCACAACAAGCTGCCTAGGTGTGATAAAAGGAACAGAGCAGCTACGTACTTTACCTGAGTATTTTCCTGGCCTTCTTGCATTTGGGTATCAAGTAATTCCAGACCTGGATGTAATTTCTAAATATTTAGCAACCCTCAATGGGTTTCTATTCCATAAACTTCTCTGTTTTCCCCTTGAATTCATGTAAGGTTTTAGCACCCACAGTATCCTTTTCCAGGTGTTGTCACAGTTGTACTACATGGTGTATGAAGAACTGCTTTGTTTGGTTTGAGACAGACTTCCAGTAGCTGCATTTACTGTATCTGTAGCTCTTAAAATTGGAAGAGACTAAGCAGTCTCTCCTGCTCTCTAGATGCCAGTCATGATTTTATAAAGCTCTGCTATATTTGATTGCAGTCATTTATTTCCCTAGGTTACTAGTTATTCCTTGCCTGGAAGCTGTTCCAAAGGTTATTTTGTTTTGTGAGCTGTCCTTCTCTGAACTTTGTTACTTTTAATATAACTTCTCTGAGATGAGGGCAACAGCCATGTACCACAGTATTCAAGATGTGGACAAGCCATGGGGTCTATACTGTCATACAATATTTTGCTTTGCTGACTGTTCCTCTGGCACCCAGATGACACAAGGCTTCAGGAAAAGTTATTTACAATAATGAGACGTATAAAAAATGGGAGAAGCAATTAATTGTAAAGCATGGTGGATCTTTGTGCATTAATTATTATTTATATGTTTTTAGAAAACTTGCTGTATTTCTTACTTCCCTCTGTCCTTTGATCTGATGCACACCTGATCGTGTCCTGAACATCTGTCTAAACAATTTCATAATGATATGACAGATTTTGTTTTAGTAGTTTTAATATGTCTAATGTGAAGTGGCTATCCAAATGAAAAGCTGACTTCCTAAATCAGCTCATTGAATTGTCACTTGTAAATGTGAAGGTCTGCTGAAACATGGGCTCAGCTTTGCAGAGTGTCATATTGTTGTAGTAGCTCTCATGTATCATGAGATCAGTAGATTTCTTGTAGCAGCTATGATGGAGCTACACACTTTGTGGAAGTATTTGCAAGATGCAGAGTGTTTTGTATAGCAGAAGCCATCTGAGTCTCTGCAATACTCCTTTACAAAGACTAATTCCCTTGTTCTGTCTTATAATTTGCATCTTTTTGATAGTTGGCATAATTTTCAATCTTTTAGCTGACTGCTGCGTATAGAACATTATCCACTGCTGTCATATGCGTAGTCAGGAATAGGCAGCAGCTTATACAGCTGTATTTCATAAATGGCTGCAATTGTGTAAGCCAGTTAGCACGTTATTATGTGGCTTTGGTTGCAGTTCAGCAGCCAGAGACATCCCTACCTATATGTTTGCTAAAAAGGAAATGTAGAGTAAGTAGGAAAAAGCTGAATAGCTGCTTCTGTAAGGATTTTTTTTATGGAGCAGCTTTTTTGTGCACTGTTGGGTTTGTCTTGAGAGAAGTGACATAATGGTAGAGAATTCTGCTGTAGACCTAATATGAAAAGCATTAGCTGCAGGTATTCAGGATGATTCAAGGATGTGTTCTGGACAACTATGTGAAGTTGATGCCTGAACGCTGCAATGGCAAAGCATTCAAATAAAATTTCCACTTCTGAATCATAAAAATACCTGGTTTTGGCCATCTTCTTCCCATTCACCTCTTCCATTCTACAAGCAGGCTTAATGTTGAAGTGCAGAGGAGGGTATCTGTTCTTCTAAGAAAATTTATTGATACCAGACAGTGGAAGGCTTGGAAATCCTTAGAAGGGTTCTGATGGCTTAACACTCACAAAATTCCAGGTGACTGGCACAATCCACTTTCCCAGTCTTCATCTCTAACACAGGCAGCTGTGTTCATGAATAGGATATTTCTCCTCTTGGGAGTCTGTATTTTCTGGCTGTGGATGTACACATGCTCTGTCACTTGAGACTCAACGGAAGGATCTTTCTTGTCCTTTTCTTGTACGAGCTAAGATATGGAATTGACAGTGATGATCAGAAGTCCTTTCCAGTAGTGTAGCAGAGAGCAGAAGGATCCTTATGTGTTCTAAGCAGGGGAATGTGACTACAAATATCTCAGTTTTAATTCTCCTGAGTCTTCAGTCTGTGAAGGACTTTGTGCTGTAGTCATTGTGCCACTATTTGCAGTCTGTTTCACCAGGTTGTCTCATTGTTCCCTGGAGAAACAGGATCTTCACATCAATATGTTGGACTTCTGGGCGTTTTGGAGCGTGTCAGATCTTTCAGTGACATCTTCATGAGTCATGTGTGGAAATGATGACGCTCAATTTAATAAAAATTTTTTGTATAGACAAGTGGCTGTTAGGTTTAAATTTCCCCTGCTATTGTAGAACACCAAATCTCTGTAACACTTTATGCTGTAAAGATAGTATGGCCTGGTCAATCCAGTTTTGTTTTGTTTTGTTTTTTCATGAAAACAGTAACAAAATACCACCTCCACTGGGAGTTTTCTGGGCCTTTTTCCCTCTCAACCCTCATATTTCTAGAGCTTTTTTCATTTAATGGAAATGTAAGGAATTCTAGTAGATGTGTTAAAATTGGTGTGAATGGAAAATGAATGGCAATGTGAGGGTGGGGAAGCCCCAGAAGGTAAAAAAGGCAAGAGAAAGGCTAGTAAAAATGGCCTGTATTGATGACAGGACATGAAGACCCCAGCAGGTCTACCTGCAACTCCTCCAGACACCCATTTCAGGAAAAATAAAAGACAGATAATGCCCAAACTAAAACAAAGACTTAAGTCATTAGGAGATGATGACAAGAATGTAAAGAATATTATAACTGTCAGACGGTTCAGGAGAGAAAGGACTGTGAGTAAATCCTAATGACTCACAGAAGTCTTAGTTACTGCCAACTTTAAATGGTAGAAGAGGCATCTCCAGCATCAGTACATAGTTGGTAACCTAAGCATAATCTAGGAGATCTGATGAAGACTGCGTAGCTGGTGTCCTCAGTGTCACCACACAGTCATGGCAACACCACCTACGTACCTACAGGTGTTTTCATCCCTACATGCTGTACAGATTACTTGAACACGGTGTCTTGTTCTTCTGTGTCAGTATAAGAATGTGTGTGAAACTGATACTGTTCTAAAATGCATTATCTCTTTTTGTTTGTTTATAGAATTGGATTTGTTTTCATTTTAAATACAAAAGAAGAAATTGATGGAAATGAAGATGCTGGAATAGCTCTTTGGAGAACTTTTAATTATATTGCAGAGGAATCTGACACCTCTCAAGCCTTTACCTCGATAATTAATGTCAGTTCTTTCACAAAAAAGCACCTTTTTATTACTTTTCTATATGGTTAGGATTTTGCTACCTTGTGACAACATGATACATTTGCATTTACTTTACATGGAAGTAAAGTATTAAAAACATGTAGAGCATTAATATGCTATAGAATGATTCACAGAAATAGTTTCCTCCTCTGGAAACCAGCTTGCTCTTCTCATTTTATCCATCTGCAGGCTTTCTTCAAGAATGTAAAAAGGTAGATGCATGCCTTAGTTTTTAGTATTTTCTTGTGAAGACTGATTCTGTATTATTTGTGTTAACGTGATGTGCCCATCTTTGTGTTCTGTATCTCCTGGAGTACAGGTGTTTTAATACTACTTTGACAGTCCTGTAAGCTTTGAAGAACCTGTGGTTGTTCTCTAGTGTAGAAAGTGAAAAAGAGTAAGATTAATTCTTTTTTGGTCATGCCTGAGCTGTTCGTGAGTATAGAAAACAGAAATATTCCAAGCCTGAAGCTTAATGAAAGAGAGGTTTTCTATGTGAGAGAATGCAGGATCATGTAAAGACAGGAATTTCAGAGATGAGAGATGAATGGAGGGAAATAAAGTGAGCAGTCAATGTGAAGACTCTGCAGGCAAAATTATAGCAGATAATATTGTATTAATACACAACATTTTTTCTTACTTTTGGTTTCTATTATTCTGTTTACTGCCTAGAAACTAATGTCATGGACAAACTTGGAGAGCTTAAGATTAAAGGAATTGAAGTAACTAGGAGTACCTTGGAAGAGAAATAGAAATCCACAGTTGTTAGGAACTGACACACATGCGTGACTATTATCCATGACCAGATCACAAAATATCAATTTACATTGTGCTTTTTAAAATGTTGTGTTCCTTTATGTAGTTTCTTTCATAGTATAAAAAGGAGGGGATAATAAATGTAATTAAAAGACAAAAAAAGTAGAATCAATAAAATACAAGTTGGAGATACTCAGATCTATAGAGAGAAATGTATTCTTCATTTGAAAATAAATAGATTGAATCATTTTCACTTCAAACTTCTCTTGTATATTTGATAAAAGTAATAAAATCTTATGCTATGAAATAAAATAGCATTGGTAAGGAAAAAATATCACTGTAAAAGCATCGATGACTAATTCAGGCTTGGAATGGTCCCATATAGATTCAGGTAACTACCTGTGGTTAGATAGTTTATGGTAAGAATTTAGATTCTTTCTCTAATCAGTGGAGAGAAATAACCTTTTACATTCAGCATACATGAGTGTATTTCCTTTACCACTTCAGATTTAGACTAAAGGTATAATAATAGATTACTCAGAACAGTGCTCTGATGAAAAATTGTGCATATGTGCAACGATAATTACTAAAGCAATATAAAAAATGCAATACAGCAATAAAAGCGATATAAGAGTATACAAATAAAATTCAACATATTTACTTTAATGAAATTTACTTATTTACTTTGTTTATTTACTTTTATTAATTTTATTAAATGATGATTGTCAACTTATTACTTTTTTATTTACTTATGTTATAATTTTTACAGATGTACCATGAAGTGAAAGATGGAAATGTTCTAACAGTAAATCATGTGAAAGATGTTCTTAGAAGGAAATACCCACAAGCTGATGTTCAGAGTATACTGGATGTTCATTCTGAATATGATGAAGGGAGGAAGGTATGTTGAGAGCAAAGTGGTAAGAAGTACTGCAGTACACAAGTTACTGCATTTGATAAGCTGAAAGTTTGTTAAGTGTTAAAGCAAGTTAATAAAGTACCTCTGAGTCACATTTTTCTTGAGCCACCATTCAGTCATTAGTGGAAATGTTGGAAGGGTTTCTGCATTACACTACTCTTACTATTAAAATTTACTATTGCCTGCTGCATTCAGGAGCACTAGGTTTTTTTTCTAATAGACATGTCAAGGGGTCTCTCTTGCACTGCAGAAATTGTTTACCTGCATCTTCTAGGTGAGGAGCTGAAACCTGTCTTCTAGGTGAATCAGTGTTTCCTGTAATTGTGCTTTCTAGTTAAAATTTCCTTTGGGAAAGACACTTATGGATTTTGATGTAAAGACTATGGAGAAGACATACTTTTATCTATAATTGATTATGTAGACAATTTTCTGCTAAAATATATTTAAAAAATACTGTTTTCCTTCATGCATCTTCAGCCATGCCCTCTGTACAAGCTTGTGTTTCTGACATGTGCCATACATTTTATTTATTTCCTTTTAAAATTTGTTATATAACTTATATTATGGTCCTTTAAAAAGGTGCAGCTGGGCAGCCAGGGGAAAAAAGGTGCTGTTTGCCTTACACTGCTTGTTTCCTCACTGAGTTGCATGGAGGGCAGGTGTATAGAAGGGCAGTTTGAATCTGCTCTGGAAGCAGCTGGATACACTTAAGGGAGGAAAACTTCCCATATAGATGATGTTAAAGCAAGAAAAATAGACAGACAGTGACCAGGAGGAAGCCCCCTGTACAAGCAGAGACAGTGAGACTGTGATGAAGATCAGGGAGGAGACAGTGGGATGACAGAAAGGTGGACGCATAGAGATACTGCCATAGAGTTTGTAACTGTCCAGAAAGTGACACTGAAAGAAAGCATGAAAGGATGCAGAGTAGGAAGGGGGAATTACTTACAATACATTTTTATTTCCATTTGTCTCACTGAATTTTCTCTGAGGAAAAAAATTAGCTTGTTCTGCTTTCTTATCAGATATGGCTTGGCTTCTGAACATAAAAGCCTTTTGAGTTTTTTCTTTTGAGGGATGTTGTCTTTGGGGAAAAGGTCTAGGTTGATCCACCCAAAACTATGACTGTCTTAAGGTCCTTCTCCAACGTTATTTACTTAATGTTTTTTTGCTAAGAATGTTCAGCAATTTTTTTTAACAAAATGATAAAACAAACATTTAATACACCTTATATAGCTCTATATTTTCTTTTGTCATTCTGTTTGAGAAATGAGTTTCCAAACATTTTCTGTTCTGTCCCTGCTACTCATGAGAAGGTGTGACAGTGAATAGTGCTTGGAGATGACAGTTCTTTGTCTCTTGATATTAGTTTCATATTTTGCTACAGTCAGACAGAGTCTATTTAATCCTGTGATATTTCTGATATGATCAGGCAGGAGCAACCTTTTATAAAAAGACTGGCCTGGGTCCATTGCCTCAAGCTCTGTTTAATGGCGTGCCCTTTAACAGAGAAGAGATGGATGCTGCAGAGTTAGAGACAGTTACTCTTCAGAGGATTATTGATGCCACCGGGTTCTTCCAGAGGGCAGTGTTTATGGTATGTTTAATGTTTCTGAATGAATGCAAGATGAAATATTTGGCAGTGAATTGTTTGAGTTATGTTTATATATTAATTTTTTTATAATGAGATGGCTTGAAATTAATATCACAACTGAAATTACATTACATTAATTTGCAGTTATGATTTTGAAACAGTATATTTAGATTATACAAGACTGAAGGATCAACTAAGCATATAGTAATTATATGGAATTTTTCAACCAGAAACTCAGAATGTACTGCAGCTGTTCATTAAAAAATGCATATCTGATATTTTGAAATACTATCTGTGTGATATTTGTGCATTTTTACTTGACAGTGGCCATAACTGGGTCTATATAGAAGCTTTAAGCTCAGCTGAAAGATTTTACAAATGCTTAGTCTTTGCCTTGAAACTATAAAAGTACAGATTTAACTTTTTCTCTTACTACAGGGTTTGTTAAATGATCATATAAATGCCATGGATTTTCTTATGGATCAGGATAATGTAGTTTCCCGTATAAACCCCACTATTCTTAGAGCAGAAAGAAGATACATACATTTCAGATCCACATCTGGTAACTACTTCTCTTGGATTTCTTGTTGTTATGATTTTCCTTTTTTTTTTTAAGTCTAACATGTTGTGTTTTACATTTTGCAGTTCCATTTGATGTGGAAGACTTCTCTACTTTCTCCTTTTTGGATTCACAAGATAAAAGTGCTGTAATTTCAGACAACATGAAGTATATAACAAAAAAGAGTATGTTCATTTTCTATATGGGTTATATATTTTTATATATATATACATATTTTATATATATATACATACATATGTATAGATACACAGGTATTACAAATTGGTGAAATTTTCCAGTAAAATATCCCAAAAATATCTTCTTTCAGGAGACAGATCATATCCTAATATTGTAAACATAAATTATAATTAACAGGATAGTTATTCTAGATTTTGTAGTTTTGAAATGGGGTGGATGTTGTAGCTAGTTGTTTTTTGTTTTACCGACATGAAGTTAAAAAGCTTTGCAAGACTTTTTCAGCTTTGAAAACAGACTCAGTTTTCATACTGGTATGCTTTTTCTTGATCATATGAAAGAGAATATATTCAGTTTTCAAGTGACTCTTAGCTGCAGCATTACCAAGTGAAGGATGTATAGTCTTTGTAATATCTATATCAAAATCAGGCATTTCTACAGGATAAGGAATGATTGATTTTATTTCTTATTTATTAACATTCAGTATTTCTTTATTTTTCTTCTAGTTAGGTTGTTTGATTTTGATAACTGAAGCGTTGTCTTTCTGTAGAAAATAAAAAATGATTATATTCTGATGGATTATCACTCACTTATACAATTCATCTTGCTAAAACCCTCACTTTTTTGTACATCTAAAATATTTTTCGATGTAAACTATTCTTACTGCATATGGAAGTACATTCCCTTGGAGTCGGAAGAAATTACAGTTACAACAGTGGAGGCATATACTGCATGGAATTTTGCAATAGTCTCTACTTTAACTTCTAGAGAAGACAGTTAACAACTGCTCATTTCCATCAGCCCATCAAGGGACAGAATCATGCTGTTAACAAAGTGCAATTCTTTTAGTAATTTTTATGTGGTATTAACATAGTTTTTACTCATTATTAGAAATAAATGCCATATACTTGCATTTCTTTAGAATAATATTATTTGACTCTATTTGATTCTCTGCCTACAACCACAGGGACATGACAGCTAGTTGTCAAATGATGACTGGCTTTCAATCTGCAGGCTCATTTCTAAGATTTAGGTCTCTTGGGTAAAATCCATAACCTTTAAGCTGAAGTCTGCATTTCCATTCTCTGTCCCCCGTGTGTTTCTCTGGACTGCAGCAACACTTAATTATAACATCATCCTAGAGTCTCACCAGGACCTTGTAAAATTCCCAGCTATACGTATTGCCTTTTAGATCTATAACAGGCCTGAGCAGACTGATAGTCTTCAACAGATAACTTTGCAGAATTTTTTATGTATCATTGCTGTTCTATGAAGAATAAAGAACAGGAGGCTATAGACCAGGAAAAAGGGAAATTTTCTGCATATGCACCTCTATAGTAGTTTATTTTCTTTGGACTGTATTTAGTATATTCCTGTTTGCATCCAGAAATGGTAAGCTTGGTCGTGCCTTTGGTTGAAAGACTCTCCCTGTGCTGTCATGGAAAGTGAACAGCCTAACTCATGCATTCTTGTGACTACTTAATTCTTTTGATTTCTGGCTATTTGATCAGCCTCCATCAAATGTTCACAAAAAACCTGTAGTAAAGCAGGTCTTGTTAATTGGAGCTAGCTTATTATTTAGGGCCACCTTGTTTCAGCAGTACAACAGTAGGTTGGCTATTTTAGTGACTTTCTTATATTACGTGATAAGTTACTTCCTAAGAATTTTATTTCAGTTCAGAGGATAAAAGGTTCTGATGTGGCAAAGATTAATCTTACAGTTGAAGTCAGCAAACATACACATAAACTTCAGAAATCTCAAACAGAATTAATTCATTATTCATTACTCATGAGAAGATTCTCCAGAATGTGAAGCAGGATTGTCTTCAATTTTCAGATGAAGATGCATTATATGCTGTTACTATCTGGATTATTGCTGATTTCGATAAGCCAGCTGGAAGACGACTGCTTTCTAATGCCTTGAAACACCTGGTGAGTTTCTAGCAGTTTTTATTAAAATAATTACTATGAATATATTCTTAACAATGCTTTGTACATTCAAAAATTATACTCTTAAATAAAGGTGTAACTTTTTTTTGTGGGTCAGGTGCAGACTTATGTGACTGAGCTTTCATTTTACTCTACTCTCGTGTAGCACTGGCACCTTAATGGCCTTTAAATTATCATTTGGTTCATTGACTCCTGACGTAGGAGACAAACTGTGATGCTGTGCATTAAAAAGGGAGAATTTCTTATGAATTACAGACGTTCTTCTAAGGTAACCTGGCATGTTACCTGGGACAGGGAAGTTAGAATGCCTGCTGATGTGAACCGTTGTGCAGTGTTCTTCTGTATCGTCTGGCATAGCTGTGGCCATGAAGTGACCATTTTTCCACATACTGTTTGTATGCTTCTAAACAGATTAAATTTTTCTTTGTTTTTTTAATATGCTAGGAGGATCATCACATTTATTAATTTGCTTGTTTTTAAGTTCTTCAGTATTAATAATAGGATTTAAAGTATGCAGGTAAAGGTCATGTGAATATAAATGACAAAAACCCCTCAGTTCTGAGTAGATTAGCAGGTTAATTAGACTGAAATTGGGCAAACATCTAGATTTACTAATCAGGAATGAAACAGGAACCACTCTAAGGGATTTATAAAGTTGTTATGTTGCAGGGAGCTTGTGATACCAAATATGTCTTAAAAAACTACAAAAATGAATGTGCAGTACAAGTCCTTGTTATAGGAAAACATTTCATTTATCTGACTGCTAGATCTATGACCCAAGCTTGACAGATGTGTTCCCTCTATAGTTTCATCTTTTTTCCCCATTTCACCAGGGGAAATATGCCATAGCTACCAACTTGGAAGTGAGAACTATCTGGGCAAGTCCCCATGTGTTAGTGAGGAGAATCTAAGAACATTAGAAAAAGTAGTTCTGAATAAGGTTTGCTGGATCTTCTATGAAATAGCAGTTTAATTGGTTATCTCATTCTAATTCACAGATTTGGTTTAGATGAACTTCATGTGCAGTTTGGTGTGGTGATTTCCAAGTTTCATGACAAAAAGACAAAAATATAGTATTTTTTGTGTAATCCATTGATTTGTATGGATTCTCTACTCCTTTCCAGTCCCTTTTGTCTGTCTAGTAGAATTTCTGATAGGTGCAGAGCTGGCACAGATATGTCTTGTGCATGACCTGCCATCGGCATTTGAAGAAAAGCATGCAAGTATCTGGCAGGGAAAGTGACCAAAGGGTGCTCACTTTTAATTATTCCGGCTAATATATAATATTTTGAAAACTACTAATATATTTTTACTTCTTTTGAAAAAACTAGAGATGTATTAGCTGGAAGACACCACTGGAGGTCATCTAGTTCAGCCTCCCACTCAGTGGGATTATTTCCATGATTAGATCAGGTCAGCTGTAAATTTGTCAGAGTACTGAAAATCTCCAAGAAGGTGACTCTGTCCCCTCCCTTGACAATTTCCTCTGGTGTTGCACTGCCTTCCTAGTGTAGTTTTCCCTGACAGGCCAAGATTTGTGACCGTTATCACTTGTTATACTCTTTGCCAATATCAAGAAGAGCTTGGCCCTGTCATGTTTTTCACTACTTCTTCAGTAGTTTGCTGCTTAAGGTTCTTCATAGCCTCTTCTTTACCAGACTAAGCAAGCCCAGCTTCTTCAGTGCCTCCTCATAGGCCTCTGACCATCTTGATAGCCCTTTGCTGAAGCCTCTCCAGCATCTCAGCAACCTTACTGCACTGAGAGGACCAAAACCAGGCACAGCAGTCTAAGTGCAGCCTCACAAGTACTGAGTAGAGGAAAATAAGAACTTCCCTTGAGTGGCTTGCCATGTGTCTCCTAATGTAGCATAGTATGAGGTCTGTCTTCTTTCCAGCAAGAGAACACTTCGCAGGAACAGTTTAAAGTACACATTTTCAAGCTTTTCAAACAAGTGTTTTAACAAAACTTTTCTCAAGGGCTGCAATTTAAAGTTTACTGTTTAAATACATTGATACCAGTGATTTAATTTCTTATTTTTGTATTCTGTACTGCAATGGAATCCATTTTCCTTCAGTTAGTGATGCTATTTGATCCTACTTTAAAATCATCACTCTTTCTAGTAAAATATAAGTGGCATCACTGATTTTAGCAAGTGAAAGATTTTACTGCTGATTAAGATTAAACTGCTAAGTGGATAAATGTTCTTGTATTTATTTTATGCTTCGTTTGATAGTTTTTGAAAAATAGAAAAACACTTCCAGTTCTGAAGTCTGTAAATCAACACTTGTGTGTGTCCTTTGTTAAAAACACGCTTCTGCAGAATGCTCAAAGGCAATTGTTCTAGTAAAAAAAATCTTCTATTTAAAATATGTAGTACAGAATAGGTAAATCCTTACTAATAACGTTTTTATTCCTAGTTGAAGTTCTGAATTAAGCACTGATGCATGTTTTCTAAAGCCAAATAGCTGCAAAAAACTACATACTTAAGGGCACTTCACAGAGTCATAATAGATATGAATACATTATGTAACAGCAGATGGAACTGTGAAATTGTGTATTATACTGTATTTTTCTTTCCAGAAAACAAGCAGTCATACACGAGTTGGGATTTTGAACAATCCGTCATCAAAAATAAAGGAAGATAACACAGTCATTGCAAGAGGAATTTTGACTGCTTTTCTAACCCAAAACAACAACAACAACTTAAGGAGTTTCCTAAGTAAACTCAGTAAGGAAGAGACAGCAAAATCCCTTGCTTCTGGGACTAAAATTGCTAAATTCCTCATCCCAGTGAGTGCAGACTAAATTAGACTACTTTCTTTTTAATTTTCCATATATTATTTTAATGTAAGGAGATGTTGTTGAGAGTAAGAGTGTTTGACCAAATGCTATGAAGTTTATAACTCTTGTACAGTTTCTGCTCAGGCAGATCTGGATTTTTGACAATTTGTATGTGATGGAAGAATAGAGAATTTATTTAAAGTAAAGGAAGAAAATACAACAGTACTGAAAAATACAGAGTACAAGTACTGGATTATTGAGACCAAAATAGTTTAATTTTTAATTGTTGGGTTTTTTGTTTTTATTAGAGCTCTTCCTTTATTAAAATGACAATATTAATGTTCATCTAGAATTAAGACTTCAGAAGTAACTGTTTTTAGCTTGATGTTGTGGTTGTGAGCAGTAATAGGGACAGACTGAAGCGGTTGAGGTTAACAAGTGTTGTATACTTCTGGCCAATGTTTTCTGGTGTGTTTCTATGAAAATACATTGGTTTAAAACAAATGTTGCTGATTTCAGAGTTCATACCTAGACTGGAGCTGAGTTATCATGTAACAGCTACAAACTACAGTTTTTGTTTCAGAAGGAGATGTAAATTCTAGTATTTTTAACTAGGAAGATTTGGAAGACTAAGAGAACTCTTGGCACCATGCTGGAAAATTAATTAGCTGGTTTGAGTCATGCTCTTATTTCATTGTCAGATAAATTTTGAAAGACATAAAGGTAGCTAATTAAGCAGTGTATACATCTTACTAATTTATTTTGTTATATTAATTGTATCTGAATGAATCTATTTGCTTGATCTGTATGTTTCTAATGAAGAAATACATATCAGTAGAGTTTAATATAGCGAGATAATTTTGACAGGTGAGGCACAGTGCCATTGCAAGCATGGCAAAGTTCCACCATTTTTTTCCCCACTTTGAACATTGATTTATTGTGTGTCTTACTGGATGATTTTGGCTATCTCAAAACATGTTTAAGCTGTATCCAATGACCACATTAAAATGACTGTTAGGTTTTTAGAGTATTATGGATTTTTTATAGCTTTTTCCTAAAGTGAGAAATACAGTTCAGTTGTTAACAGATGTTATTTTTCATGCAGCTGTGTATGCTGGATCATAGAAAAAGTGCTTAACCTCAGGCTCAGCTTTTCTGTCATGGTTATTCATAGTTGGCCAAGGGTAAAAACTGCACACTAGCTAGTTGGGAGACATGGCTCCACACCAGCAGTCATGTACTTACGTTGAAGCTGTTTCATTTTGTTTTCTGGTTACCATGTAAGTTGAAGTAAATCTTTGATTACCTTAGCTGTTACAAAATTTATTTTTGCTGAATTGTTGGATCATCTCGTGCTTTACCTTTTCTTTAGGGAATGGATGATAATACTTTTGAGAAGAAGTACAACACTTTAGGACTGGATTTAATTAAAACCCACCAGATGTTCTGCCAGGAGGTTCTTAAGTTGCTTCCTGGGCAAATTGCTGTTATGAGCAATGGCAGGGTAAGAAAGAAATTAAGTCATCTCTCAGACTCCTTGTAGGTATTTTTTTATTTCCTGGAACTTCAGATTCAAGCTAAAGAAAATGCATTATATTGATTTCCCACTTATTCAGTGTGGCTATAGGTGAACTGTGACTAAAAAATACAATATTTAGTTCAATATTTAGTACTTATTAATGACAGTCAATACCTTACATTACAAATAAAATTTATACAAACTACTCTGAGTTAACTGTCTTCTAGTTTCTATTTATTGCTCCACCATTAGAAAGAAATGGGGATACTATGTTGCCATCTCATTACAGGAAACTGTCTTTAAATTGTGTTCTTAGTTACTCTTGTGCATCCTAAATGGCTTCTGAGATAGAATCAAAATACTAACAAACCTATAGAAAGCATTTTTGTTGATAAAGCACAAAATAACTGTGTTGGGTTTTTTGTGTCAAAATCCCCTCCCCAGCTAAATATATAGTGTTATGTTATAAATGGTTATTACTTTTTTCTATCCCTAAAAATGCTCAAAAATGTCATATATTAAGTGCATTCAGCACATTCTACATCCTGGGAGCCCTGTAGGCTCTTGAAGTTGACTTGGGTCAGTTTAGCCTGGTAGACTGTGTAGGAAATCCAAACAACATCTTCAAAGCTATCTTCTGGGACTTCAAGGCACCTTCTTTTTCTTCAGACACCAAAAGAAATAGTTCTGTTTCTTGTCTCTGTATATCCTGAATTTCTTAGCCTTTGCTCTTTTCTTTCTATCCATTCTGCTTCATCTGAAAAGCCTTGAGACATTAAGGTTATGTTAACAGAATTAAACAACTAAGGAGTGTGGTAGGCGGATAACAATTTGAATTTCAGTTTAAAATAATGTACCTAATAGAGCTTTTTCTTAAACTTAGATTTCTTTTTACTAAATAGTATACTCCTTTACATAAGTATGTATAATGAAAAATATGGATATTTCCATTGCAGCTGTTCTTTGTGATTGATAATTAACTGTAATTACATAATGGTAAAAACCTAATCCTGCATAGTTACTATACAGTTGAGTACTATATAGTTAATAATATTGATGTATATAGGGCTGGGGGTTGCATATTGAATATTGTGCATTCATTTTAAAAAATAGTTTATTTTTGGTTACAGAAGAAACATTGGGACATTCTATACTTAGTAATGTTTTTCTTTATCTAAGGTACTGGGTCCTTTAGATGAAAATGGATTCTACGCAGAAGACTTTAATTTGTTGGAAAAAATAACATACAGTACCTCAGGAGAGAAGATTAAAGCTATTGTCAAAGAGATGGGAAACAGTAGTAAAAAGTAAAATTCTTTTGCGTTTTGGGGCTTTATGATATACTGACTTGTTTATTGCCCGTGACAAATTAATAATCCTTTTGCATGGGAAATATGAACAAAGGTTCAAATATATAGTCATCATACTCTTCTTACTATATACTCATATATATATGCACTCTATGTGCAGTTGAAGTTTGTTGTTTGCATACTATATATTTGCTATCATCTTACTTAGCATCTGAGTACTTCTACATAGAGAGGTTTAACTAACCCTCATTTCCTTTTTAGCATCTCCCTGACAGACTTAGTATTTTTACTTACTCAAACCCTTGCCCTATTTTCTAGAAGAAATGGCCCATCTGCTAAGTTTTGTATCTTCTTTATGCTTGTCTAATTATGCTATTTAACATAGTTTTCCACTGTACATATAAACTGTATATGCTGGGTTTCAACTGCATGTGTCATTCACCGTGCTGCTGACAGCCTCTTTGATACCTCCTTGTTACAGTACTGAGCAGACAAAAAGGCACATGGTGTTATTCAAGAGACATGCACCCTTTTATCACTGGTCACATGTGTGATGAGGCTAAGGTGTAAGAGATCACTGTGTGTCCGAAGAATCATACCCTCTCCAACTTGCCTCACAGCATGCATGCAATTCTGCTAAATTACCACAAATACTTTACCTACTTTCACTGTACTTACAGCCAAGACATGAGTACACTAACTGTAAACAATTACAAATAGGTTTTCTTCTCTTAAGAGTAAAGAATAATAATAATAAGCTTGATAAAATCCAATGCATGTTAAAACCACAGTAATATCTGAGTATTGATATTTGAAGTAAGGAAGTACATTGTCTTTGGGAATCATTAGAAAAAGAACCAGTAGGGGCGTGGACAGATGTGGTGCTTTGACACTCTGCTAGACAACATTCACACACCTGTTGATTGACTAGAATCACAGAATGGTTTGGGTTGGAATGAACCTTAAAGATCATCTAGCTCCAACCCCATCCTGCCAGGAACAGGGACACCTTCCACTAGACAAGGTTGCTCAAAGCCTCATCCAACCTGGCCTTGAACACTTCCAGGGATGGGGCATCCACAGCTTCTCTGGGCAACTTCTGCCAGTGTCTGACCACCCTCACAGGAAAGAATTTCTTCCTAATATCCAATCTAAGCCAGCCCTCTTTCAGCTTAAACCCATTTCCCCTTGTTCTGTCATTAACTGCCTTTGTAAAAAGTCCCCCCGAAGTGTAAAGGTGAGTTCTAGCCAGCTTTTAATCTAAAGATCCAGTTTGTGCACAAATAGCAAAATTACATTATTTTTACAGTATCTGTTGACTTTTCTGTGTCTGAGTATCATTGTTACCTGGAAGGACTGACACAACGGATGGAATAACTACCAGAAAAACAAAATCAAGAAGTAGAACTATCAAGGAGATAAGTAGTGAGAGGCAAAACATATTTAATCAAATATTAAGATTTAGTGACACTGAAATCAACTACTAAGGTTTCTAAGGAAATTCCAGTAAGAAACACCAAAAAAAAATAAAAGATGTGGCCAAGTAAACTTGAAACTTGTTGATTTATGTCTATTCCTAAATGTTGTCCCAAAGGAAAAAAAAAAGGAATAAAGAACTACAAATGTCAGCAGGTTGTACCATGCAAACTCTGAGGCTGAATGGTAATTCTGCTAATTGTGCATCACTTAATTGTAAGAAGCATAACCTTCACAAGCTCTAAGGCAGTAGTGGTTCTTGGGCATTGTCATGCTAAAGGTTTTAATCAGAGCTACAAATCTTGAGGTGATAATTGTTATAAAGATTCCAGGTTTGGGATGTGGGCTTTTAAAATATCCCTTATGCAGACAGATATACATTAGAATGTGAATATTTTACTCCTTTTCTAATGAAAAACAAATTATATGTGCTTTATTTAATATAGTGGCAGTGATTTGATTATGAAAATAGATGCCCTACTATCATCTTTACCTAAAACAGAGATGAGACAAGATGCTAAATTACTCAAAGAGCAGCACAGGTAAGTTCTATCTGTCACAATAATGCATTTATTGGACTTTGATATTACAATTAGAATGTACTGATGACTACATAAGTTCTTTGGAAACTTGAGTAAGCATTCCAGTTTTAAAAAATGTTGATTCTATGGTTGTATTAACAGCCTCTTCATCTGTCCTAACATAATGCATCTTTACCTCTTAATAAATTTGTTAATGATAACTAATGATATTGCAGCCTTATCCTTTGCTGAAAAAAAAAGTTGTTACAGTTAGTGTGAATAGAAGTGGTGATGTGGAGTTAGAAAACTTGAGGTCCATACATTTACTAAAATATTAGAAGTAGTTTCACAGATTAGAGCTAAAAGCAGCCCCCACTAATTTTCATTAATGTGGAAAACTAGCACAACTTTTTCTGGCTGTTGATCTTGAATACTATTGTCAAGGCTAATATACATGCACTTTATACCTGTGCAACAGTTTATGGCTCAGCACTGTCATTCTTGACCATGGCTAAATACACAGCTTGTACAACTAAATTGCATTAAAATACAAATTAATAGGGCTTTTGGCACTTAATTCCTTAAGAAAAACTGGACAGACTGTCATTGGCTAGCAGATTTACACTTGGTGAGCTCATATTAGTGTCCTTAGTGAGCTTGTGTGTTAGCTCCTTGTCTTTCTGATGCTAGATTTACAAAGTGAAAATGCCCTAAGCTGGTCTTTTGTCGTCATTGTTAATGAAAGAGACCTAAAATAGCAAGAGGTGCATCTGTGTATCTTGCCCTCTTTGTAATGGGATACTAACAGTAACTGGTTTTAATTTAAACTTATCTGGGGCAAGCTTTCTGGAGCAGACAGGTACATTTTTTAAAAGGCCATATGATAACACAAGAACCATGATCAAAATAACAATTTTTGTAATGCTATTTCCAAATCCCTGCTTGTTTTTATTGGTAAAGGTTCTCTAGTGTGCTGTGCTGATGAGCTGGTCCTGTTGTTGGAAATACAAGGAGTGAAATCAGTAGTAGCCTGTTTTAAGTGGCTAACATCTTTTCCACAGTTATACTAATAACAGTCAGTGCTATTCTACAGTATTGGAGAGAGTTTGACTCACTACCAGTACTCAGATTTCTAGGTACTTTTTGTGGAAAACAAATCCAGATAGTCCATTTTGTGTATTTACAGCACTTTTTTTTTTTAAATGAGGTTTATTAACATCTCCTTACTGTAGATCCAGACTGCTTTAATTAGAATGTTCTGGACTTAGTCTAATAAAGTTTATCAAACTAATTTATATTCTGGAATGCATAAAGCTAATCCATCCTATCAAGTTTCACACTTCTCAGTTGCCATTTTTCCCCACTGTTTTCTTACAATTATGTCACCGCTAGCACTTGTCAAATCTAATGATTATAGATACTGGTGGTGGAAACTAGGCCAGTGACAAAAAGGCCATTTTAAAAATTTTGCTGTGTGTTTTCCTTTTGTTTTATTAATTTTATTATGAGGCATGTATTTAATCAATAACCAGTATTCAACTATATAGATTAATGCTAAATTTTTAATTGCTGTTCATGTTTAGCTTTCCTAGTAATATCACAGGGAGCAATAATGATTACTGCTTGAAATGAGGGAAGTGTCTTCTTGAGCAGTAAAGTCTGAATTGTCTCTGATATTACAAATTCATGCCTAAAAATGTTTGTTATTTTCACAAATTCAGCATAGAGTTTTCATGTCACTTATTAATTTCTTTTTAACAGCGTAGTAAAAATCAATCCCCAACAGAATGAACCATTCTATGATGTTATTGCTATTGTGGATCCATTGACAAGAGAAGCACAGAAGATGGCTCATTTATTGATTGTAAGATGGTGGTAATTTCTTTTAATATGCATATTTATAGTTTAATTTTTACTAAACTTTTTCTAATTTCCATGTACAGTGTAGTAAAGGGGTAAACAAAATTGAGGTTTTTTAAAAATATATATTTGGTTATTTAAATTCATATTAAAAAGTTGATGATGATCTAATTCATCATTGTAAGTACCTTATTTGCAATTAAAATTCAGATGCTCCAGTCCTCTTAAAAGTGAGTCCATAAATGCTCTTTATAGTCAATAGAAGGAAAGGAGGAGATTGTCTGTGTAATAAAGAGGGAAAGGATCTCCCATCTCAAAGTCTTAAGAGGCATATGCTTCTTCCCATTAAACCAAATCACCTTAGTTTTCCAAGGTACCTAAATGAGGTGATCTAAATGTGACCTGTAATATCATCACAAGAAGACTGGACTATAAACCTTTCAGCTCTTGAAAGGGTATTTCTCAGTTGATTAATGCTACCAAGTATACCTAGAAATCTTCCATTGTGTGTAGCTATTGATCATCTAAAGAGAAACTGTCCTAAAAAACATAGCTCCTAAAATTATTTTCATTTTTCACTAGCTGTAGAATATCCCTCTACCTCCAATTCCTTTATAGTTTCCCATAAAAATGTAAATTTTGTCTTCTCTTTATGGTCTGTTACAATTCTGAAGACTGTAATTTGATTTTTGCTGCATCCTATTTTATCTTTCTCTGTAGTAATTATGAAAGTTTAATAAATTCTGACATTGCTTTTCCCCCTCCCGTTTTCTTACTCTTTTATGCCTTTTGTATCAAATGTTGAGGCATCCACTCACTCTTCATATGTAATAGTGAAGCAAAGTAAAACTCTTTAAAAATTCATGAAAATTCTGATATCTCAAGACTCAGAAATACTAGCATTTCTCTAGAACCACATCTTTCACTGTTCTCAGTTAAAAGGAAAGCTTGATATTACCAAATGAAAATATTTTCATTTTGGAATTGACTGGAAACTCGCTCCATTCAGCCAGGAGTTGATATTATGGTAAGTTGCGTCAAGGACCCTGTAGCTCAGATCGGGAGCTTCCGTTCCTCCCAGTGCAACAGGCTCCCAAAGGAACAGTATTTTCCCTGATGCCTGCCTGGGCAAATGACTCCCATGATGTACCAAGCTGTTCAGTCATCGCAGATCCGACTTGATTCGTAGGAGCTATAGTCTTCTTCAAGAAGCCAGCCTTAGGAGAGAATAATGAAATGCTGTTGAAACTAAAAAAATCAAAAATACTTTAATGTAGATAAAACTTTCTCATTATTTTTTAATTATTTTTAAAAATGAAAAATACAATAATCAGAAACTTAAAAAAAAAAAGATATATCTAATTATCTGGAAAGCCACTACTTCCTGATGTAGAGACAAAACATGCATTCAAATCCAGCAAGCCTCAAACTCCAAGTTCCTAAATGGATGCCTTTCTGATTATCTTGCTATATATAGGTTACTTAAATACTGTCAACTTTAAGCACTGGGATGTATTTATATTTAAGGGATTTTTTTTTTTTAATAATGCAATTGGATTAGTGCCCAGTATAGTGGGATGGTAGCTATTCATGGTGCAAAATCTGTGTAGTAACTACCACAGCAAAGCACATGATTCTTGCCCCAGTCCATGTTGAATGTGTCCACATTATGATTTTTTTTCCCAGCTGAAAGCATGCTATTATATTAAACTGTTATGCTATTATATACTGATGGTTCAGTGAGTTAATGCTTTTCAGATGCGTTGTGGTAACCTGCACTAAGTGTTTTGCAAAATGACTGCACATGCAAAATAGAACTCTCAAATAATTTTCAAGCCTGGTAAACAGAAATAATTTAGCCATTTTTTTACAGTATGAAATACTCCCTTAACTAAATTTCCATGATCTTCTTCGGGTTTTCTGATTTCAACTAAACTTCTCAAGTACTCTGCTATAAAAGTTTCCAATCTTGTAACCATTTTCATGTGTTGACTTGAATTCCCTGGCTTTTGGTGTCCTGATAAGCCCTAAATCACAGAACCGAATTCAGTATTCCACAAGTTGCATTGTTGGAAAACACAGAGATAATGCGTTCTTCTCTTATTTGTAATTTCCTATTTAAATTCCTTTGAAATGTTAATTAAGAATGGTATTATTCTGTTGGTTAGGATACTATACTAAATTTCATGGTCAGCTGATGCATTGGGATACCTCCTCAATCTTTTTCAAGATCATTTCGTTCTACACACAACAACTTATCAATGCAGATTGCTGAAGTATCATTCTTACTAATGAGCTGAGGTTTTTGTCTTCTTTGGAGATAAAGTTCAGTACAGGTTTATATAATTCTGTATGCAACATCTTTATTTGAGAAATTATTTTCTTTAATGTTGAAAATTCTAGGTATGTTTTAGTAGATGAGACCAGCTAGCACGGGTTACAAATGCTTTTTATTCTGAATAACAGATACTTGAGTCACTTTGACCTCAGTTTTGATTTTGATAGTCTTTAGCCCATGTCACAATACTTTCCCTTCTTACACTTACAATACTGTTGGATTCTCATTTCCTGCCTCTTCACTTGGTCTCACCATTATGCCATTCCCTAGTCTTTATTTTTCACTCAGTACTTTTTCAGTGATGGTATTCATGTGACACAAAGGATGAGAACGAGGAACTGTGAGCAAAACAGGTCCCAAGGACTATGTAAAGTTGTAGCACTATAGTAAAGAATATGTGTAGCCATGGGTTGAACTGAGGAAATAAAAAAAATGGTTCTAGTAAAGAGAGATTTAAGGATTACCATTGTCTTGCTTTGTTCCCAATTTACTTGCCATTACAGTAATTTTAGATTTTAGCCTTAGTGGTATCATTATTTTAATTTACCTTTAGTATCTTATTTGCTTTTCTAATAATATCCATGAAGGTAGACATAGCTGCTTTATTCTTTCAAATAAACACTTTGGATCAGATACTACAGAAATGAAGATAACTTGGTAAAGGTTTTTGAGTGCTTTAAGTAAATTAATAACTTTGCTACCTTTAAACAAAATAGATTGCTCACAAAAATAAGAAAAAAATACTGTCTTAATATTATGGTTCCTGTGTAATAGCATCCAGAAAATTAGTATTTTAGAAATGAACAGATGAAGATATTGAGAAAGAAGTAGAAATATTGAATATGAGTGAAAGTCATTGTTTAAAGGTTGGCTATTGAATAAAAGGCATGTGGTATGCTTACAGATGTTCAAGTGCTTTAAAGTCTTCTAGAAAACACAATATAAAAAAGGTGATAATATAATTTACTCAAGCATTAGAGAATGGGGATAGCTGCTCTTTAAAAAAACTACAGCACTAGGGGAAAACATGTACATTTTGACTATCAAGAATACCCTGTGCTAAATCATGCAGTTTTAGAAAAGGTCAGATATTTATTTGGAGTATCTGACAACATCCCTTAATATACAGATATATTTAAAACTTTAAAATGTTTGAGATTTCTACTGAAGCTTGAGGAATGACAGGATGTTGCAAGGATAACATTGGCTTATTTGCAAAGTTTGGTGAGTACTGAGTACCATTTTTTACAGAGATTTTTTTTCCTGTAGGTACTCAAAGACATTGTCAATGTGAAACTCAGATTGTTTTTGAACTGCAGATCTAAGCTGTCAGAAGTGCCACTGAAGAGGTAAGTAGTTTATATGATATTGCTTGGTTTGGAAAAACAGACTTAACAGTGTATATTTCCTAAAAAAATAGTGTTTTGTGTTCCTGGCTTCTTTTGTTGCATTAGTTATTTTCTTTGAATGTAAGTTGAAGGTTACAGAAGCAGTTTGCACTTGTCTGGAGAAAAAGTCTAATTCTAAGGTGACAAGCCTGGGATCACGGTGGAGTGATCTTGTCCATCAAATGTACCTCTCGTAAACAATCCTTATGGAAATCCATGGAGAGTCTTTCATGCCTGTGGAAACTTGCAGGGGGAGATTGTCTGCCTAATCGGGTCACTTCTTACAGCCCACTCTCTGTGCAATTAATTTTTCAGATTAAGAACACTTAACTTAATAATGAAATTCATCTGAGTAGCTGTACAGTCTGCATTTGAGATCTTGTTATAATTTAAGAACATTATATCCTGAAAGTACCTGCCTTAAACTGAAGTTACTTTTAACTGTCTGTAGAGACCAGAGTTCACTAATTCAGTTACAGACATTTACACTGCAGTGAATTTCCCAGAGAGGATTCTTTTCCCTCTAAGAGAAATGTCTAAGCACTGTGTGATAGTTTAACTTAGCTGGTGGCCAAACAAGACACAGCCACTCACAGCCCTGCCCCCTTTCCCCCCACTCAGGGAATCAGGGAGAGAACTTGGAGGGGTAAAGCTGAGGAGACTTGTAGGTTGAGATAAGAACAATTTAATGATTAGAGTAAAATAAAATTAAAATAGTAATAATAATAATAATGATAACTCTATATATATGAGTGGTGCAGAGTACAATTGCTCACCACCTGCTGGTAACGATCCCGGAGGAGCAAAAAGGAACCTCAAGCTGAAACTGCAATCCTGGAAAAATGAGCCCGAGGGATTCCAGAGAGAATCCCCCCCTTTCCGGACAGCCCCTGTTAATACACTAAACATGACGAGATATGATACAGAATGTCTTACTGACGTATCCAATTGGACAATTCTGGGTTTTACTAACTACTGCACTTTCCTTCCCTGCCCACCCCCACTGCCCACCAGTCCTCTGCTCTTGCAAGCTACCCAAGCATGTTGTCCTTGTACCTTATCAACATTGTTCTCATAACAATCCCCACTGAAACCAAAACACAGCGCTTTCTATCTACCAAGAAGAAAACTAACCCTATCCTAGCAAAAAACCAGGACACCCTGCTATCCCTTTGGCAGATATTTTACCTGTAATTATTATGAGAGAGGCTGGTGGTGCCCTTTAGCCATCAGACTACATAATTAGTCACTTGCCCACAAAACAGAAGTCCTTACTTTCTGTTCAGTTTGACAGGAGTTGAACTCACACCTCTTACACCAGAAGAGTGTCTTAATCATCAGTCTTCTAAGTATCTTGTGTGAACATTGTTGTGATCACTTTGAGCTAGGCACTTTGCTGGTGTTAGTGCCTGGTTCTTTCCCTGTACTTGGGAGAGGTGGGAGGAAGAAATGTTCTGGCATCTGCCCTGTGGATAGATTTTCTTTTTCTTGCAGCAGTGTCTTTTTGAAATGCATCCATGTGCCAGCCCAAATTCTTTGTGGGAAAATTGTATTCCTCCTAATGGGTACAGACTTTCTTACCTTTTTACTTTTCATAGTAATGTTTCCCTGCCACTGCCGTATGAAGCACTTGTTGCCTGCTGCTTTCACTCTCCGTCTTCGGTGCTCTTCTTCCTCTGTTCTGATTATTCTCATTTTCTTGAATATCAGTAGAGGAAGGAAGAAAATCATCATTATTTTGTTGTTGCAAGGAACTTTTACCTGTGGAATAAATGGGATAAGAGCTGGAGAGGAATAGAGAGACCCCTCCTTTCCTCTGCTCTCTTGTCTTTGCTGCTGCTAGTGTCAGGAGCAGTTCCCAAAGACACTTTTGTTCCAGCAGAGAGTAGTCCTTTTGCTTAGTTTAGTGATACAGATTCCTAGAATTCAAGGCAGCTCACAGTCAAGATTTTAAAATGCACGTCTTGGGTGTTCACCTTCCCAGCCATTTAGAATGTTAATTGGAACTATGCACTTTCACAGCAAAAAATTATCAAAAGCAAATAGATCTGTGTTCATCTACTAGCATTTGAGATGCTGTAGACAGTATTACAAAAGAATAGAGAGCTACTGTGCTTCCAAACTTCAGTTATTTGATAAAAATTCACTATATTTTAAAATATTTTAGAAGAACTTAATATTTGGAACTTCATGGTTTAGTAAGTGTATTTTTTAACACTTTTTTCACCAGCTTCTATCGTTTTGTTCTGGAACCAGAATTAACTTATGGGGTCAACAAGCACCTTCCTTCTGAACCTGTGGCAAAATTCCTAGAATTGCCAGAATCATCCCTTTTGACTCTAAACATGATCACTCCTGAAAGCTGGTTGGTTGAAGCAGTAAACAGTTCCTGTGATCTCGATAACATTCATTTACAGGATGTAAGTAATAGTTCAAAAACATGAAACTTATGTTGGACCTTCTACTTCAAGAGGGAAATGGAAATATTTTTTTTGTCTCTTTTCCAGAAATATTTTCTGTGGTAATTGATTATTTAGTCAGTATTTTACCATTTTTTTCATCATCTTTTTTTCACATTCTCTCTTAAAGTCTTAAAAGAAGGTAATGAAACAGAAAGAATCAGAATGCAGAGTACAAGTAAAAGCAATTTATCTGCTGTGTTGAGCTTTATGATATTTACAGAAATACTATTTTTCTGAGATAAAAATAAAGCAGTTCAGGGATTCTGTTTGTTAGGTTTCTATTTTTATTTTTTTTATATGTTTTCGGTAGTAATAGGATTAACCTAGGTAAATCTTCAAATAAACCTGAATATATGGCTGTTTATTAATATAGATTAAAATATGTTTGACCCTTTTTTAGTTCACAATTTTGTAATGATATTTTTAATCCCTCAGCTTCAAAGTCACTAGATTTGTTTCAGTCACTAAGCTTATGCAAAATATTGAGGGTGTTTGTGTATTTGGAAAGTATATTGTGAAAATAGAAGTTGGGATTTACCTTACCGAAGCTGAAATGCCTCAGCTTCTTCAACAGTCAATGGAGAGAAGGTCCCTCCAGACAGTGATTCATCCTCTTAATCTTGGATACCTGTTTTAAAGTTGAGTGAAGTTCATTCTGGAAGAGCCTTTCTCTTTTACTGACAGTTGAATTTACCTGAGGTAAATCCCATGCAACATGTTTTTCATTGTAATATGTTACTTTTCTTACACAGTTAAATGACATAATTTACTGATTAAATGTTCCTTCCACAGATAAAAGGGACCGTGATAGCAGAATATGAACTGGAATATATATTGCTTGAAGGACATTGCTTTGATGTGACAACTGGACAACCTCCTCGAGGGTTACAGTTCACTCTGGGCACAAAGAATAATCCTGTCATGGTTGATACTATTGTGATGGCCAACCTGGTAAGTATTAAGTACAGAAATAGTTATTACAATTCCATGCTCTTCATGAGAATTCTTTGAGTTTCTTGTTCTTTAAATCCATTTCTCTGTGTTGCAAGCTTAGTAACACTAAAAGTAACAAGAGCATCCATCCTGGAGTTGAGACCACCTACAAAACATGTGCATCTCTAATTTGCTGAGCTTTCCCCTGCTCCTCTTCTGGTCCAATATAGGTTTGGATATAGCCTAATTTTAGACTCCTATCTGAAGTTCCTAAACTGGGAGCATGATTACTTTAAGTAGATGGTAGGAGGCAGTTATGTTCAGATGGAGATTCCACTGAGAAATGTAGGTATGAATCACATTCAGATTAAAATAACCGTTTTTGTTACACAATGATCCAGGCAGAAGGCGGCTCCTATTTTAGATGCTTCAGTTAAGTATTTAAAGCCTCTGTGGGACAAATCCATACCTGAGAATTCCTCTGGTCATGCAAAGTAATTATTTCTTGTTTTAACAGTCTGTAGAGCAGATGATCTTGTGATTTCTGAAGCAAAAGATTTATTTAGTATTGGCAAAGCTAGTTTGATAGGGAAGGATTTTGATGAATAAGATCTGTTACCTATCTGCTATTCTCTGTTCTCTGTAAATACTGTATCACAAGGAATAAATTGCTTAATAAACTGTGACTCTTTCATTTTTACACAAGTACTGAATACAATATCAACAGCAGATGATGTTCAGCCTGAAGAAACTTGTAATGATTCTTCACATTCCAAAGCTTGCTTTGTCTGGCTTTCACATACTGATAGCTGTATGCAGTGCTCCTAAACTGCAAAGGTGCTGTGTTGGCTTGGAAAGTTGTTCCAGACAAAAATGTTAAGTTCCGAAGAAGCTTTTCAGTTTAGGGTCAGTTTAATAATTTATTTCTTTACTGCTCACTTTCTTGCTGTTCTAGGTGGAGATTTTGCATACAACTCAGATTCAACTAGAAATAAGTGAAGCACTGAAAGACATTAATATGGGCATACAGGAAAGGTGATAGTTGGTTGCATCACTGCTGTATTACTTTCAGGGCTAGTGGGAGAGTAGGTAATGGTTACTAAACTTGGCTGTAGTACTAAGTGTTGGATAATTTATTTTTGTACGTGTACATGGTTGATTCTAAAATGCTGACAGAACAAGTGCCTGGTTTTCCTTTTTTTCATAGGGGTATTTTCAGCTGAAAGCAAATCCAGGTGCTTGGACACTGAGATTGCGTAAAGGAAGATCCGAAGAAATTTATCAGGTTATTTCGTAAGTATCAATCCATGTTTTGGAAACATATTTATAAATGAATCTGAAAGTGCAACATATTTTGAAAAGATCTGACAGTACTGAAGGAAAGTAAGCAAAAATAACATGAAAAAAATAGAATAAGAAGCAAATTATGATTTAAGGTTTATAAGAGTTACCTTATTTCCTGATAGTGTAAGTTGTTTGATTGCTCCATGTGTTCTTGAAGGCATTTGGTTATGTTATTGCATAATAAAGCTAAGCTGCTCAGCTAGATGTTTTGCTAGCAAAGTCTCTTACTCTGCAGCTACACAGCTACCAGACACTTGCCCTGTCAGTTCCACACGTGGTTTGCATTATCATGCAACTGCTTGCACCACATTCTGTAGAAAAGTCACTCATGGCTTTATTGCTTAATATCTTGGCATTCCCAACATACTTAACTTGTAATTCCAGGAATATGTCCACTGAAGCATTGCTAGCTGTCCACCAGTGTCGTGATCAGATGGAGGAAGTGCCATGAATTTCCCTCTCAAGGTTTTTTTCAGCCCTGAGGGTGCCTCTGAATGCAGTTATTGATGGGTGGCATCTTTTTTTTAACAGGAACATTATATTCATTTCAGTTCTAGGCTTTTTTCTTCAATTAGTTCTGAGTGTTTCTTAGTCATCTAAGAATCACTGTGGTTACACCTTCACCTTAGGATATAGAAGCACCCTTCAATTCTGTACCCTGGCTGCATGTTGACTGCACCCCATTTCCCTCTCTTGGGAGAAACCCCTCTACATGAAAAGAAACCACATTGTACTCCAGTAGCTGACATTTAGTTGCCACCTATATGGCTTATAGATTTATAATTCCCATGGTTAATTTTCATCTAAGGAACATATGCTAGCTATCATTCCAACTATTTCTGGGAAGAATCATATTTTTCTCATGATTTATATAACAGCATAGATCTCTAGCATATGAGGGCTTCCTCTTGAAGCTTTGGATTTTATCTCTTTTGGAGAAACAGTGTTGTTTTACTTTTATTTCAGCTTCAGTTCTTCCCTTTTTTTTCCCTCCTCTCTCTTTCTCCCCCGTCCCTGTAATTCTGTGGGCTGAAACATGTCTATTTCTTATAAAATATTTATTATTTTATTATTTCAGTGTTAAAGAAATGTTAACAAGGTATTAGGTTCATTCTACTTGTTTGGCATTTTCAAGTATTTTTTTTTTCTCAGAAACCACTCACAATCTGTTGAAAAAGCAGAAAAACAGTCTTTATACTAAGAAGTTCACTTAATCTCCACCAACTGTAGCTATATCATTTGTCTAATTTAACATTCAATTCTTAAGATATATAAGGAGATTTATGAAAGGTATCATGGTTAAAAAAAGTAATGTAATGAGGTGTAGTTGAATTAAAAAATAGTTGGGTGACTAGGAATTGAAATTAAATACTCTGTCAGGAAAAGAAGTCACCATAGTGTAATAGTAGGAAGTGTATAGAGATGTGAATGGAGAGACACATAAATTGGATTTTGAGAGCAACGTTAAGTGCCCAAGGTAACTAATGGTGACTATCACTATTTTCAGTACATGATTCATACTGGGACAGAAATTCATCACACTGAGTGCTGTGCAGAGTAAAACAATTGGCACTCAGTAAATGGAGCTGACAGTGAGGGATCCACAGAAGAGACTTAGAGAGACAAAGTGATGTTGTTAAATTTATGGCCAAACCAAACACTTGGAGAATGCTGTGAAGACTTTGGAAAATCATCTCCACCAGCAGAGCTGCAGAGCTAGCTACAGAATTCATAACATAGAGATTTTGAGGTAACTGAATGAGTAACAGAGAAAATTTTGATTGTATAAAAACTGAGGGCACAAATGGGAACGTTGTGCTGGCTGCTGCCATTTCTGCTATCAGCACTTTGTATTTGGCTCTAGTTTTACTATTGTAGAGCTTTTCAATTACACACTTTGTTTAAAATGGAGATTCGTTATGTTAAGTAACGTACATCCCTGTGATAAAAAAGACAGTTCTTGGCTGAGTGTTCATATATGCAATATTTTAAATGCAGGAAAATGAAACTGAATCAGAGAGCAGAAAAGTTAGTCCTGAACATTGTTTTGTACAAGAATCAGCCCTCTCTGTGAAAATTAATAATCATAGGCACTTTTTACAGAGATGTGTTCAATAGAAAAATCAGATAACTATATAAAATACTGTCGTTTTTAGGTAAGTGTTATGAAACAGATAGAAACAAGACTTAAATATTTATTTTTCTAGGCACAAAAAAAAAATCAAGCCTAAGAGGTAGCAGATTACTTTCTTAAACCAATTTTTTTGTATGTGTAGCCTTAGCAAGAGAAAACTACATAATGCTGTTAAAAGACAGAAAGGATTGAAGGGAAAATGTATGGGCTATTGAGGTACAAAAGCTATAAAATTTGAGAATTATGTTATTACACTGTATCACAAAGTGACAGCAACATTTTTCATACTTGTTACTCAGTGGACTGCAGTTCTGCCTGAATGGCTTTAAACTGATGTTCAGTGGGGCAAATGTTCAGGTGGTGCCTTGCCCAGCCATGTCTTTAGGGGTACAGTTTCCAAAGCCAACCTGATGAAAGCCAATCTTTACTATCTCAGCACTGTGAGGCAGCTTTCCCTAGACTTTTTAAAGCAGATTCATTTTAAAAGTATATTTAATGCTGGCACACAGCAATTTCTAAGATGTTTTCCATATTTGAAAAATAAAATGTAGTTTAATATTTGAATGCAATATATACTTGTATAATATATAATAACGTATTCAACTCTAGGTTGCTCCATTTCTTCACTAGTTGATAAAATTTAATGTGAAAATCCAAATTAAAAAGTGAGGGCTATCACTGGACAATTTCTAGTGAGAATAAAACTCAGAAAGTTTCTAAAGTTACGATATAATTAGGTACAAGTGAAGAAATGTTGTTTCTATAAATATCATAAATCCTAAACCTTATACTCTAATTGAACATAAGTCATAATGCATGTTTTAATGAGCCAGTACATTTGCATGGGTTTTTTTCTTCTCATAGCCATGAAGGAACAGATTCTGTAGCTGACCTGACAGATGTTACCGTGGTATTAAACAACTTCAGAAGCAAAATTATCAAAGTTCAAGTATGTAAAGAGATACCTTTTTTGTCTGCAGTATTTCCTTATATGAAATATGACTAATGCTTACAAGTCTTAGGCTATATTTAATTGAAAGATGTATACTGAAATATATAATTTAGATTTTGTATAATTAAATAGAGAAGGATGTGTAAATTTAATGTAGTTAATTTGATCCAATCAAGTTATACTAATTGCATGAGAGATTCTTAAATAGTTGTTAAAATAATACATCCTTGTGTGTAACATAGGATCTATCTCATCTAGCTTAAGGTGTCTAAGTGTAGTCTAGGTGCCTTAAAATCCCTCTCTGCTTAGTAGAATGAGAAAGACAGTCCAAAGGACTGCTTATCCCAGCTCATGTATGTATTTAAAACAAGGTGATGACCACCTCTTGAGACATGCAGTTCTCTCCTGTGACTGGGGAGGGATTTTATATTAACTCCAAATACCAGAATGGATGTTAAAATTAAGTATGTTGAATTCTACCCTAAAGCACCCAATTAGCGTAAATGAAATTATGAAATTGTGTTACTTTTCTTCTTAAAGATGTATCAAAAATAGATAATGAAACACAGAATCACAGAATGTTAGGGACTGGAAGATCATCTAGTCCAATCCCCCTACCAGAGCATGGCATTTTCTTAATATAACTCAAAACACGAGTTATATTAAGAAAAAAGAACCTCATAGTATTACATGTTTTCCACTATTTTGTAAATAACATTTTGTGCAGGTGTCCTTGGTACATTGTATCCTGATTTTAGACATTGAGAAGGAGAGAGAACTATGTAAACATAAGTACAAAAGGAATTCTTAAAAACACATATTTGAGTTGCTTCCCTGGTCCTGTAACTGAAAGTTTCCAGAACCTGGAGAAAATCTGTAACTCTGGAGCATGATAAACCTACCTTTAAACCAAAGGGAAAGGGTAAAAAGGCACCATTTGGGTCAATGAGGTGAGGTCAGGGCTGGAGCACCTCTCCTACAAGGACAGGCTGAAAGAGTTGGGGCTGTTCAGCCTGGAGAAGAGAAGGCTCCAGTGAGATTTTATAGTGGCCTTCCAGCTCCTGAAGGGGCTACAAGAAAGCTGGGGAGGGACTTTTCATAAGGGCAGGTAGTGACAGAACAAGGGGAAATGGCTTCAGACTGGAAGAGGGCAGGCTTAGATTAGATATTAGGAAGTTCTTCACTGTGAGGGTGGTGAGACACTGGCACAGGTTGCCCAGAGAAGCTGTGGATGCCCCCTCCCTGGAAGTGTTGAAGGCCAGGTTGGACGAGGCTTTGAGCAACCTGGTCTAGTGGAAGGTGTCCCTGTTCATGGCAGGGGGATTGGAACCAGATGATCTTTAAGGTCCCTTCCAACCCAAACCATTCTGTGATTCTATGATTCTCTGTGAGAGGTGGTATGTATTAAGTTTATAACTAGAATATTTAAGCTCTTATCATTCAGTTGAACTTTAGAATCACTTTGGTGATACCTAGGATGTGGCTTCAGAAGCATTAACTAAAAAGACGCGTGATTTTGTGTGAACAGAAATCTGTAAGCGTTAGCTTGGCAATATAAACCTGTGAAATTAGTATGGTTAGAATTGAATATGTTCAAATATTAAGTGTTTTAGAAGCTATTTTAGAATTTTAAAAATTATTGGGTTTCTTTTAATCAGGGAAATTAAGGTCAGCAAACAAAATTAATTTGGAGCCTTTAATAAGCATCTGAGTAAGACAGCAGAAATTGCTTAAGTTGGAAAGGAGAGCTTATGTTTCAGATTTGTTGCTTTCTCCTTGTGAAGGGCTTATGAGAATCGCAGTTTCCCTTTAGATAAGTTCCATGCATGGCACAACACCCCGCTACCCTTCTTCTGCCTGCTGGATCACAAAATCATGAGGGAAGGAAATGAGATACAATTCCCTACATTATTGTTTGTATAAAGAAGTACAGAGGGATTGAACATGCTGTTTAATTTATTAATCACCATTTTTTTCATAATTGATTACTTTTCTTTGTATTACAGTAAGTTCTGTACATAGTTTAGAAGTATGAAATCACATTTTTACTGTTCAGTTTAATGTCGTTCAGTAAGAATTTTACTGAAATAGAAATTGGTAAGATGTTGGTCCAGCTCTAGTCAGTAAGTGCACTATAGTTAGATATCACCACTGAAGTAGTAATTATTATCAACTAACTTCCCAAGTTACACAAATACATTTATTTTAATGACTAGGTACAGAAAAAGCCTGATAAAATGAATGAAGATCTCCTTACTGATGGAACAACGGGAAAAAAAGGAAATCGGGAATCAGTTCCAAGGTAATGCATAACGTGCTTATACTTCACCTGTTCCAGGACATGTTTATTATTACTCATAGAAAGTAAGTGTTTCTTACTTCATATGAATATGTAAAAAGGCTCCCTAAGAGATTTATAATGTAAATAAAAGAGGGGAAAAGACAAGCTATAATGTCTTATGCATCTCATGATTTATTTCCTTTTTAATCCCTCCTTTGCATTTCTAGTTCCCATTCATTTTCACCATTGGCATTATTTTTATCTTGTTGTGGCAAGGAATCAATCTCAATGTGAAAATCTCAGCCAGTAATGCGGTACTTGGATGTATCAAACTGTACATCAAAAAAGCAGGCTATGATGCTGCTTGTCTGCTGCTAGACATAGTTTATAAAAGCTCAAGAGGTGCTTTTGTATTTGTCAATAAAATACCTTTTACTTTGAAGTTTGGGTTCTATGAATAATTGTAATAAACATCTCAAGCTTTACATTTGGGGCTAATAACACTGTAGTATTTCTAATGTGCTGTATGCCATAGTAAAATTTTGTTTTCAGTTGCTCATAATTATGTTGTCTGTGGATGGTGTGTGGTTCAGGCTGATTTGTTTTTAAATTTGAATTTAGTTTTTATTAATAAGATACGAATTCCTATGAAATTGTTATATCATTTTTGAGAATGAGATAAGGGCAAAAAAGGATGTTTCATCTTTGCTTAGAAAAATAATTTTGGAGGGTTTTTTTTTAATAGACTAGTATATCAGTGCTGTGGATCAGAACATGAGGTGTTGTTTCAGTTTCCAAGACATGTTAATTGTCCTTTTGAGAGCATTTTAATCAGATGACCTTTGACCAATGTATATTTAGAAACAGTGGCCTGGATGCTCTCTGAGCATTCTTTCCTTGTAACACCTCAGAGACTTCTTTCACAAGAAACATCTCAAAGATAATGCTCTCAAGGTTGAAAATTGGAGTGCTGGCAAAAGTACTTACTGAATTCCCAGTGATTTGATTTCTTTGCGTCAAAGAAGAATGAGTTTGGGTCTTTAATCTGGAATGCTGGCAACAGAATAAATTCATCCACTCTTTCAAGGTGATGATAATACCTCTTCTGAATCATCGAGGCTGTTGTGGGGGGAGCTTAATTTGCAATATATTGTTTCCATAGTGGACTTCATCCAGTTTGTAAGAAACACTCCTCTTTGCTCTCAGAAAGCCGGATTTCCAGCACAGGTTTTGTTTCTGCAGTATGCTACCAAGTGTTAAGATGTCAGGACTGTATAATTGCAAGGGCAAAGAACTGAAGGTACTGCCATCTGAAATAACTAATTCAGGGCTAATGACTGTGTAAACAGCTTAATCCAAGTAATCATAAATCTCTTTGCCCTGAAAGAAAAAAGAAGCAGCTTTGTTCAAGATCTGCCATCAAGGTAAAGTCTGACTCCTCTATTATTCAGAACATCTTTGAACTATAATTCAACTACTAAGAAAGAGATAATGTCAGTATGAGCTATTTAAGGAGAATGGCTTTTTCATCACTATTTTCTCCATAGCCTAAAGACTGTCCGGCCCCTGACAACTCCTGCAAGACTCAAAAAATATTTTCTTCCATTTTCTGTACTCTTGGCAATGTTTATCAGGCACAAAGAATGCTAAAGAAGATAAAGAAAAGGCATAGCACTTCTACTTTTATCTAGTAAACAGTTGACCCCAATTAGTCTGCAGCACACACATTTCTTGGTAGATCCAGAATTGGCTTCTGTTTCAGCTTTGTCATCTCTCCTGACAAGCCTTCTTGTATTTCAAGTACTTGGACGTTTTATAGAGTCTCTGTTACTGATTTTATCTTTATCACCATTTATCCATAGGCGATTTTACTGTTACCATATTGACTAGGTTTAGAAAGCCTTCCAGACTCCTATAATACAACTCTCAAAAATTTATTCCTAAAGCCACAGGTCAGGGAGGTGGACTCAAGTTTCTGCACAACAGTAGCCTCCTTTGCAGAATTATGTTAGTTGAAGGAATTTTTCATCATCTTCAAGCTTCCTGCTTCTAACTGACTGCATCAAAGGATGTATGTGCAGTGGTCAAAATCTTAGCTCCCTTTGAGAAGGTTACAAGGCCAGAGATCTCTCAGTCTTCCAGGTCTAGCTTTTTGTCACAGTGGGTTGGTTCATTAGTGTGCATCAGGCCCTCACCCTATAAAGTGTATTTGCTTTTCCTGGTGATTCAAGGTTGAGGCTCAGGAGTGTGATTTGAAGCCTGCCATTTGTCAGCTTCTTGCTATCTGAGAACTTGTCAAATATCCGTCCTCTTTAATATCCAATAATTGAAAGTACATCCTGCCAGCTCACTGTTCGTTACAGGAATCCACATGTGCTCTGACATGGGACACGTGCATACCGTGTTGCCCAAGTCCTTTCGTAACTGGACTGCCCTTCTCCAATTGACTACTTTTCCCATGTGACCTTAGAGGTCAGAGCAGCTTGTTCAATTTGGAACATCTCTGCCTGCTGTGAAGCTTTGCATAATCAATATTTTCAAGATCTTTGCATCAAAACCTGATTTACTTTTTTCATACCTGTTTGTGTGGTCACATGTGGTGATGGTTGCATTATAAAATCATAGAATCGTAGAATGGTTTGG